AGTGAGTGATTACAGTGAAATAACCTTTGTTTGAACTTCTGAATGTAATTTTTGTTTGTGACCGAACTGAATAAACAATAGCTTGTTGTGTTAACTTTACTTTGTTTATATTGCACTGTTTGATTTGGTCAGTTGGACAGTATGCACACAACCATACTCTAAGTATGCAAAGCCTATTTGATTTTAGGCATTTGGTCATGAGATATTTTAAATTCAATGGTTAGATTTTTGACGATTTTAGGGAAAACAAGGAAGAGAAAATTTTCTATTTTCTAATTGATCGCAAAACGCTCTTCTGTACAGATTTATATGTATATAAGTGTATGAATATATGCAACAGTTCAAACAAACTGACAGCCTATGGCAATATGAAAATGTGTTAAACTAAACTAATTAAATGGCCCAATGTTATATAACAAACAAATGGCCCAACTAGTTTATCACCTTCCCTCGCGCCAAGCGTATCATTGCAAAGCTTGGAGCGAAGCCGGTCGAAAGCCGCACGAGGAAGTGACTTCATGAGAATATCAACTAACTGGTTACCACTGCTCGTGAAGACGGGAATAAGAAATTTGTTGTCATAATAATGGCGGATGAAGTGGCAGGCGATGTCAATATGTTTGGTCCGTTTGTGAAACACGGAGTTCTATGTGATGTGAATAGCAGCCTGGTTGTCGCAGTGAAGTGGTACCAGGGTAAGGAACTCAAGGCGCAATGCATGAAAGATGTAAGATAACCACACAAGTTCACTCGTACACGAGCTCATACTACGGTATTCCGATTCTGCGGTAGAGAGACTAACAGTAGGTTGTTTCTTGACTTTCCAAGAAACCAAATTGTTCTCAAAAAAAATACAATAGCCAGAGATAGACTTTCGGTTGTCACAGCAGACACCCCAGCATCTGCAAACGCCATGACATTCAATGCAGGATAGGCACAGTAGTGTAGTCCGAAATTAACCGAGCCCTTGAGGTATCAAAGGACATGCAAGGCAGCTTTCCAATGACAAGAAATGGGGTGTGACATGAATTGGCTTAATTGTTGTGTCGCGAAAGTAAGATCAGGATGAGAAAAGTTGATATATAACAAACGACCAATGAGACGTCTGTAGGAGGCAGGATCATCCAAAGGTTCACCGTCAGAAGCTGACAACTTGATCCCAAGTGGTAAAGAAGTGGCAGCAGCCGAAGCAAAGTGCATATCCACGTCCTCAAGGATGTCAATGATATACCGTTGCTGAGATAATATCAAACCAGAGGAAGACTGTTTAATCTCAATGCCCAAGAAAAAATTGGCGTCGCCAAGATTTTTAATGGTGAAAATATCATGGAGATAGGTCTTGACTTCATTAATCAATCCCACGGAAGAACCAATAAGAAGAATATCATCCATATAACTGTCAAGGCTAGAATACCCGGACCTCGGTGAAGAATAAAAAAGACAGTGATCATGAGGAGACTGATTAAAGCCAAAGGCAACAACCTTCGTTGCGAGAGTCTCAAACCAAACCCTTGGAGCCTGTTTTAACCCGCAAGGATTTTCTCAATTTGCACACATGATTGGGGGGGACTGAGTACCCTGGAGGAGGCTGGAGATAGATATCCTCCTCAAGAGTTCCATGCAGAAAAGCGTTATTAACATCAATCTGATGTATAAACCAACCTTTAGCAATGCCGATAGCCAAGAGCAGTCGAACTGTAGTGCATTTTGTTACTGATGCAAAGCTTTCACTGAAGTCTTTCCCTTGTTCACAAATAAAGAAGTCGTACCTCGTGGCGGATGCTAATGTTCAACCTGAGGAGCATAGCCGCATCCCCGAGTGTGATGTTTCTTCGGCCAGGAAAGATAGGCCCATCAATGAAGAGGGAAGGGAACTTCCTGCCATGGAGGATCGGCACATTCAGATTGCACGGCAAGTTTCGGATAAAAGATCGCCTGACTTTTACGCTCCCAAGAAGAGGTGGCTGGCATTGAGTAGGATGGAGGAGAATAATGAGAAGAGACAATGTCTGGGCGCAAATGTCCGCGAGCATGATCTGAAGTAGCCAGCCAAAGACAGGTGATGCGCTTTCTTCGGAGACTGGCTGAGAAAGGCGAGGGGAGTACACCGGCCTAATGAGGGAGCTGAAAGCATGAAGATTCTTCGAGCAGCATCCCGGTGAGTGATTAGAGTGGAATGACCGTAGTTAGAATTTATGAATGTATGTTTTGTTGGTGGCTGAACTGGGTGAACTATTGTTTGTTCTGTTGATTTTACTTTGTTTACATTACATTGTTTGGTTTGGTCATTTGGACAGTATGCAAACAAGAAGTACTCTAGCGTGCAAAGCCTATGTGACTTGAGGCATTTGGTCCTAAGGCATTTCAGATTCAATGGTTAGATTTTAATGTATTGTTTGGGTGGGGGTGGATTTAAAATTTATAAAGTATTTGCTATTTATTTCTATTTCATTACAAATTCATCTTAGAAGTCATCGTTTTACTTTTGTCTTTGTTCTGCTTTCTTATCCTTTGTTTTTGTTTTCTTACGAGGTTGTGTTATTTGTCTAAATGTTATACAATGACACCTAAACTTACTAATATATTTATTGTAAATCACCTTGCAAATCTAAATTTTCCAATTTAATTGTGAGTTGTTAGAAGACATATAGAGTGAAATATTATATAGTGCAAAAATACTAAAAGATATTTGATGCAACGGTTAACAATAAAGATAGATTATAGTTTCTAACCACTAACGACAACATAAAGTGAGAGTGTTACTTATTTAAATGATCATTGAATGCATAGCATATAAATGTCGAGCTATTTTAAAGTCACGAGTTCTTACTAAAAGTGTGTAACTAAATCTTCATATGTTAAAATGGGAATGCCACGTACTATAGTTCTTGGTCACAAACGACAACGTAAAATGGGAATGCAACGTACCTAAATGATCATGGAATGCAAAGTATATAAATGTCGAGCTACTTTAAAGTCACGAGTATTTACTAAAAAGTGTGTAACTAACAAATCTTAATACATTAAATTTAGAATTCAACGATATGGTGGGGTCCATAAAATCTATCTTAACTTAAATATAAGTGAATTAGCACGTGTGGCGCATTATCTGGCACATTTGAGACAATGTAGGGTACTAAAAAAAAAAATTTATGGATGGACCTTATTTTATGCAGATCGATTAATTTAATATTATGGGTAGTCCATAATTTTTCTTTTTTTATATATATTTGGTAGTTTGGTATATCCATAGGCTTATTACAATGAAATAATTGAACCAAAATTAAGTGTCAAGGAGAAGCTGTAGCCGAATTGGAGGAAGAAAGTGAACAGATCTATGTGAGAAAAATTTAAGGAAAGGGAACTTACTGGTGCAAAGAATTAGGAAGCTGGGGACTTATTTAGAGAATGACCACATCAGCCATCAGTCATGGTGAAGGCAAGCTGGAGTTAAACTGATGAGCTTTGTGATCGAACCAAGGAACTTTGTGACTCATTATTCGAAATTGCAGTTAAAGGTTAAAGATGTCAATTTTTCAAGAAAGTCCAAGTTGGTTTTGATTGCTGGAACTAATTAGCAATAAACCAAGTACCACAATGGATGACTATATCAAACTGATCGGATACATCTTGGAGAAGATTAGAGTAGATTAGATCGCGTAAACAGAATTATTGTTTTGGAGGTGATCGAGCTAGAGAGAAGTTCCTCAAGAATACATCTACTACAAGTGATTTTCTGCTCGGAATTCTTGGGAAAATTTCAGCGGAACTTTTGTGGAATCAGAATAGCTTATTGGAGTGGACTATAAGGGCTGAATCGCATTCAACATTAGTAATCCGACGGCCGGAATTTGTGAAAGAAGTTTAAGGACTGGAATCAAAGTCAAATAGCATTTCATTTGGAATTTTTGAGTGGTGATTCAAGAAACACAAGTTGTAGCCTGGTAACATATGCATGTGGGACAATTTATATGTTTGTTGTCTTTAAATTGATCATTAAAAAATTGCTTGGGATGTACTGTGGTGAATAATTAAACTGATTTTTAGTGGATGGAAGCCTGGCAAGCTAGTAAATTATTAATGCCAAATTTATTGTGAATTTTAAGTTTAAATTTAAAAATATGTGAATAATATAATTCTCTAATATGAATTATAAAAAGTATGCTTTATAGGAAGATGTAACGTTGTTTATATTTGTATTATAATAATATACATTATGTATTTCTTATAGTAATAATATTGTGTAATTTCTTATTGTTTATTGTACATAATTTCTTATTTATATATATATATATGTTTGATATAATTTTTATGATAAAAAATAATACTCTCTCCGTCTATTTACAAGGGTTACATTTATTTTTTGCGGGATGTTTAAAAAATAATAGTATTTTAATTATAGTGAATAGTTAAAAATAGTGTAATGACATTTTTGTTTTTACTTTTTTTGTTTAAAAGTAATGATGTGATGTAAAGTAAGGGTATTTGTTAAAAAAAAATATATATATTTAATTAAATGTAAACTTTGTAATTGGACGTTTTTATAACGTGATAACAGCAGCCACTACTCGGTATACTTTGAATAAAACTTTCGACCATATCTATAAACTAGGTCCAAGTAAGTTATATATATATATATATATGTGACAGGAGCCTGAGATTTGAGATTTGAAACTTACGAGTTCACCCCACACTACCGTTAAATTGAAAAAAAAAAAAAAACCCTCTTAATTGTTAAAGAGATTTTGGTTAAATTATTTCAAATGATTGGTATTGATTTCATATTTCAAATTTATCAGTGAAAAATTTGAATTTCAAATTCATGATTAAAATCAATTATTTGATTTCTCTTATAACGTTCAATTATTTGATTTTTGAAAGTATTTGAAATAACTAAACATTAAGTAGTAATATTTAAAAATATTAAAAGATATTAATTTGGAATTTACTTGCAAAATAAAACTAATAAATTTGATATAGCAATTTAATATACCTTCAAATTTAAATATCTGGAAGCGGGGACCAATTAATTACAATTTTAAGGCTATATATATAATACTTTCATATTGATGATCAATCGAATACGACAACAAAGCAGGGCAGCACAGCCGTTGGATCACACAGCACTAACGACCGAGCCCCTGCAATTAACCCTTTCCCATCCACGCCGGCAAGTTTTCCGGCGATCGTCCGGCAAATAATCACCGCCCCCTTTACATTCTTCCCCTTCCGGTTGCCATTTCCGGCGACTTCCTCACTTGCTACATCACTGTACATGCTGAGCCGAATGCCGAACATCCTGTTGTAGGAAGTGTCGAATCCGGACTGTATGACTCGACACACCCGGCAGGTGGGATCGACACAGAGCTGAGACCCCTGGGGGGCCATCTTCCGGCCACAACAGTTCATTGTCGTGGTGTAGAATTGCCGCATCTCGTTCCCGTCCACAGCACTCCTCGGATGCCATGAGTTGCCGTAGAATGACGCTTTCTTCACATCCTCTCGGTACTCCTCGAACTTGTGTAAAGCTTCGGCCGAGTTGTTCACCTTGAGGACTCTCCGGACCCTTCTCGACCTCTTTCTCACGTTGGAGGAGCTCGCTCCGAATATCATCTCCACGATGTTTCTCGTCGGATCACCGATGTCAAGCTCTACCACAAGCATATGCTAATAGATTAGGAAAAAGAAATTTTTATTTTGGATTTTTTAGATTGAAATTTTTAATAGAAAATAAGTATCAGAAAATCAGTTTTGTTTTGAATGTGATATTTTGATAGAAAAGTCATGAACAATGACTTAAGTGACCATAGTGTACTCACGTGATGTATGTTTGATTTTATTCTAGGGATAGAAATGTTTCTATAATAATGACCATTTTATCTAAAAACTTAATTATGGTGAATGATTAATTTTAACAATATCAAAATTACATTTTGTAAAAATAGTTGATGTCCTAACAGAAACTTAAATTTTATTTGGCCGTGTTTTCGTTTGTCGAGTAATTAATTCATTAAAGTAAATACGGCGTCGAGGGTACCTTGAAACCGGTTTCTAATGTTATACGCCCTAAATTGAGGTTTTATGAGCGGATCTTCCTCTTCGACGGCTACCTTGTGGTTGAGCTTCCTTTCTGCAACACAGCCATAACTTTGAATCGCGGAGTCCTTGGCCGGATAACAAGCCACATCCGTCAAACTATTGCAACAGTGCATGTCTTGCTTCAGCGATATCCACAAGGAGCTCATCTCCAAAATAATTTTCAGACAACCTCTAAACACACAAAAGATAAAGAAAAAAAAAACCGCGCAAACAAATCAATAACCAACACGGGACAGGAGCAAATGCAAACACAAACACAATGTACCTGGTTGAGTGCAGCTAATTTTCAGCTCCGGCGATCAAAATTGCCGACTAATTAACTACATTGCGAATTAGAATCCGCCTCTTTAATCGATGGATCTTGTGTCCAAGTTTAGGACCACATATGGCTGATCGAAAAGGATTAGAGCCCGACAAGGCGAGAATTAATAGAATTTGTATGCATCCATCTATGAAGCAGCCAAAATTTTCGAAGTAGTTACCAGAAACAGGGACTTTGTTTTCTTGCGGGTAACAGGCAAACAATCATCATGGGCCTCTGTACAAAACATCCAATCCGCCATTAATGCACATGGGATACCAACAAACAAGATATGATTCTACTTGAGGAAGAAAAATAGTAAAATAGTTTGAAAAAAGCAAATCACAGGCTAACTTCTTCTGCTTCCTGAAGTGCCACATACAATGATTTTTATCCGTAGGAATTCTATCCATCATTTCATTTTATTTTTTTTATCGAAATGAGAACAAACATGTTCGACTTATTAGAAATCTTGATTTCATGATCACGTGTGCGTATACAGGACAGGGGTGTCGATATATAGACGTTCACTCTAAGTTTACTACTAGTCTACTAGTTTATAACTAGCTATTCATAGATATTAAATAATACTATATTGTTTGATTTAATTTTTGTTTACTTATAAAAATATCTATAAAAAATAGTTAATGAAAAATTTATACATTAATTACTAAAGTGGTTTGAAAATTTATATCATGTTTTAATTTTTTATTATTCTTATTCAATTTATAGAAAAAAAAAAAAAAAAAAATCATGTTCTCTCCGTCCCTCAAATTTACTTTTGCTTTCCTTTTTATTTTGTCCATTAAATTTACCTTATTACTAATTTTGACAAAGTCAACAAATCAGCATTTAACTATTATCTTTTATTCAACCTTTATTTACATCAAATGTCACTCATTTATATTACATTCTCTCTCCTCGTTTTTTTATAAAAAATTTCTAACTTACTTTCCAAAAATACTTCCTAACTATTTTTTATTTTTTATCATTTTTTCAATAAAATATTTATTTTTCTTAATCTTCATGCGGGACTTAAATGTTCCAACTTTTGCATACGAAGGGAGTATATAAGTAGAATAATAAATTAATCAAAAAAGTTATATTAAAAACATCGAGCTTGTTTATTTTGTTTTTAAGTAGTACAAATTAATTTTTATAATACACAAATAAACAAACTCATCATTTAAGTAGAAAATTTACTAAATATAATGAATGTAAATTAAAATTGAAAAACTTTGATACTGTGAATATATATTTTATCGGCTAGATAAATAAATATAATTTTATATTTTTATAAATTTTTTAATAAATTTATTAGATATATTTATATTTTTTATATTTATAAGTATCTTATTATAAAGAAAAATATATGATGATGTATTTTATATGATAATTGCTTTAAATTTCATACTTCACCGTAAATTTTGCAATTTCACATACTCTTATACTCAACTATCAGTATTTTCATAATTTTTTTTTATAATTTCTTAAAATAAAATATATATATATATATATATAATAAATTTAATAAAACTATTACACAATTTATAAAATTAGTACTAATTTTAAAATAATTTAAAATATTAAAGTATAAAAAGTCTTTTTATGGATTTTTTAATTAATTTAAATATTAAAATTAAAATTAAATATTTTCATACACATATTAGATTATTAAATAATATTTTAAAAAATTATGCAATTTAATTTTAATTTGTAAGATAACTCCAGTTAAAAGAAAAAAAAAAACAAACATATAAATAGATACATTTATAAAAACTTGGAAGAAATAATATGTGCATATAAAAAAAATTAAAAAAAAATAGAATAGTATATATAAAAACAAAATAAAATAAAATTATAAATATAAATTATTCTTTTAAGATCTTAAATTTAAAATTATTAAATCCTTATAGTCCACTCCAATAAGCTATTCTGATTCCAAAAAAGTTTGGCTGAAATTTTCCAAAGATTTCCGAGCAGAAAATCATTTGTAGTAGATGTATTCTTGATGAACTTCTCTCCAGTTCGATCACCTCAAAAAAAATATTCAACTGACTCAATCTATTCTACTCTAATCTTCTCAAAGATGTATCCAATCAGCTTGATATAATCATCCATGTGGTTGTTAGTTTGTTGCTAATTACTTCCAGCAATCAAAACCAACTTAGATTCTCTTGAAAAATAGACATCTTTAACCTTTAACTGCAATTTCGAATAATGAGTTAAAAAAATCTTCACAAAGTTCCTAGATTCGATCACAAAGTTCATCAGTTTAACTCCAGCTTTAACCATCACTGATGGCTAATGTGGTCATTCGACTGAACTTCGGATAAAATCAGACAAAACCAAAAGTGTGTCAACACCCAAGGAGACCGGCGTACTCTCCTTTTTCAGCCGGTCTCCAAAGGAAGTGCATCACTTGTGGTCGGCTGCTGTCTGCTCAAGAATATCGTGCTCGTGCACAGGCAATCCCGGACATTGATTCTTCTCAGGATTCTAAGCGCTCCAACTTCCTAATTCTTTACACCAGTAAGTTCCCTTTCCTTAAATTTTCCTCACATAGATCGGTTCACTTTCTTCCTCCAATTCAGCTGTAGCTTCTCCTGACACTTAATTATGGTTCAATTATTACATTGTAATAAGCTTGTGGATAGACCAAACTACCAAATACAAAAAAAATATATATATATATGGACTACTCATAATATTAAATTAATCAATCTACATAAAATAAGGTCCGTCCATAAAAAAATTTTTGATAACCTACATTGTCTCAAACGTGCCGGATAATGCGGCACGCGTATTAATTCACTTATATTTAAGTTACGATAGATTTTATGGACCACACCATATTGTTGAATTCTAAATTTAATGTATTTAGATTTGTTAGTAAGGAGTCGTGACTTTAAAGTAGCTAGGCATTTATATGCTCTGCATTCAATGATTATTTAAGTACAAAGCATTCCCACTTTACGTTGTGGTTTGTGACCAAGAACCATAGTACGTGGCATTTCCATTTTAACATATGAAGATTTAGTTACACAATTTTAGTAAGAACTCTCGACTTTAAAATAGCTTGACATTTATATGCTCTACATTCAATGATCATTTAAATATGTGACACTCTCACTTTCTGTTGTCGTTAGCGGTCAGAATCTATAACCCTACAATCTATCTTTATATTTAACCGTTGCATTAAATATCTTTTAGTATTTTTTGCATTATATGATATTTCCCTCTATTTGTCTTCCAACAACTCACATTTAAATTGGAAGATTTGGATTTTCAAGGTGATTTGCAATAAATATATTAGTAAGTACGAATCTCACTTTTTAACATTTAGAAAAACAACACAAACCCACAAAAAAACAAAAACACGATGATTTTTAAGATGAAATTGAAATGAAATATAAATAAATACCAAATACCTTATAGAGATTTTAAATCTATCCCTTACCGAAACAATACATTAAAATATAACCATTGAATCTGAAATGCCTCAGGACCAAATGCTTCAAGTCATATAGATTTTTGCACACTAGAGTACTGGTTGTTTGCATACTGTCCAAACAACCAAAGCACAAAGCACACAGTGCAATGTAAACAAAGTAAAGTCAATACAACAAACAATTGTTCACCCAGTTCAGTCACTAACAAAATCTACATCCACAAGTTCAAACAAAGGTCATTTCACTATAATCACTCACTAGGATGCTGCTCGAAGAATCTTCCTGCTTTCAGCTCCCTCAGCGGGCCGGCGTACTCCCCTCGCCTTCTTCAGCCAGTCTCCGAAGGAAGCCCATCACCTGTCTTTGGCTGGCTACTTCGGATCATGGTCGCGGGCATTTGCGCCTAGACATTGTCTCTTCTCATTATTCTCCTCCATCCTACTCAATGCCAGCCACCGCTTCTTGGGAGCGTTCCAGTGAGGTGATTTGTTATCCCAAACTGGTGGTGCACTCTGAATGTGCCGATTCTCCATCACAGGAACTTCCCTTTCCTCCTCCTTAGACTTATCTTTCCCGGCCAAAGAAACATCACACTCGGGGACGCGGCTATGCTCCTCAGGTTGAACATTAGCATCCACCACGAGGTACGACTTCTTGATTTGTGCCGGCCAATTCCCTGGTGTCCTATGGGCCACGGGTCGCGGAGTATCATACCTGGAAGTAGTTGACACTCCAACCAGATGAGCTGGAGTTTCAACTTGTGGCCTCACAATTTTGCTCGACACCTTCCGCCTCCCTCTGTTGTTATCCTTCCTGCCATGCTTAGGTCTCACAGTTCGAGACCCTGAGACACGGTGCTTCTGCCGATCTGTTGCGCCGCGAGGGGGAGACTCCATGAATAAACATAGAAAATCTTCGACGTCTCTGGAGGAGTCGAAATGGTTGGAGGAATTGAATTGAGAAGGAGAAGAAGGGGGAGAATCAAAATCAGAACCGGACTCTTCCGGCTTCCTGTAATATGCGACTTGAGCGTCGATCATATCAGCATCCGAATCAGAATCTGATGTTTCATCTGGACCAGTCTCCTTGGACTGAAACTCCTCGTTAGCCTCCTCTTCCGAAAGAGAATCTAACAGGTCGAAATACCAGTCCCATCCCTCATTTCGCTGTCCACTGCAGCTTCCCTCTTTCTTGCTGCTGGACTCACCTCTTTTCGCATCCATCTGCGCCTTCGCAGTTGATCCAAATCTCCGATCTCCACGACCTCTAACATTCGATGCAACAGCTTTCTTGTGGTTCACCATTCTATCCACGTTCAGATTGATTATATATCTGAAACGACAGAACAAGTACAAAGCAAATTGAAACCAGATCGATCCTCGAAATTAATAGATCAATGGATCCCCACAAAATTTCCACCTCAGAAAACCCTAGATCTAACATAAAATCATAATCAAAGGAGGGAAAAAATGGAAAACAAGGAAGACAAATAAACAGAAATAAATACATGATCGTTCATAAAACGTAGCCAGACTGGAGAGATTCTCACCGGTGACCGGTGTAAGTGACGGCGTTAGGGTTCCTTGATTTCCTGACAGAAAGGAATAATCAAAACAAAGTTTTAATTTTCCTCACGAACAGATCTGCTCACTCTCTCCTCCAAGCAGCTTAAGCTTCTCCTTGCCAGACAGAATCGCTACAACAACAAGAGGTTGGCAATGGCACCTGTAGCTCTCTCTGAAGAAGAAGAAGAAGACGGCGATACAATCGAAGCTCGCCCACTATAAGATATAGCCGCAATACAGTCCGCAATCTGATTCTAGCTAGGTTAATTCCGCCCTGCACCCGGACCCACATGCTCCAGGTGCCCCAGATTGTGCCATGTGGCGCAATCTGTATGTTTCTTTTTTTATTTTTCCCCGCACATCTATCTTCCCCGCCTCTACATCATCGGAATGTTGCTGCAGCGGTCTTCTGAAATAACCGGTGAGGGATGCAAGGTGCCGAAAAAAAAAATAAAAATAAAAATAAAATAAAAAAAAAACCCTCCTGGTGTTCTACCATCGATCTACAGCCCACAAACCCCACCATTGATGTCGCGCAGAACGACGTTGGCAACGAAACATTTTGATATATTTTGAGGAATAGGAGTAAACTACTTCCTAAATACTAAACAATCTAATTAGGTTATTTGAAGTGGTCAAGAAATTAAAATTTTTGAAAACTAAATAAAACATAAAAAAATTCTGTTTGGATAAATTGCAGTAGACTAAAGACACTTCCACTCACACTTCTTCCCACTTTAACTACATCGGTAGGGATTGAGTGCTTTAAATCAGCATAGCATATGTGCTGATTACTTTAAAATTTAATTCTTTTAATTATATAATTAAATAAAATAATCAATTTAAATGTTTTCTAACTCAATCCATAGCCATTTACTAAATAATGGTTGAGATTTTTGTCCGACATTGGTTAGTACATTGATGAATGATGTATTTATATATTAAATTATGTAGTGACAAGGAGGATGTATGTTGAACCTGCTCATTCAGTATTACTCAAGTTTAATAGGCATCTTTAATAATTTAAATTAATTAAAATATTCTTAATTAATTAAGATTTTTAATGGTTAGGATTAATTTAGCATATTGGTGAATAAATTTATGAATCAGCAGATAATCCAAATGGGTGTGAGGGCATTGTGTGTAGACTGGGTAATAATTAGATTGATGATCTTGTGCCCTTAATTAGTGTTCAATTATTTCATTGTAATAAGCCTATGGATAGACCAAACTATCAAATATATAAAATTATTGACTCCTTACAATAGAAAGTTAATCGATCAAACATAAAATAAGATCCATCCATACAAAATTTCATGGTACCCTATATTGTCTCAAATGTGTCAGATAATGCGATGCACGTGCTAATTCGTTTAAATTTAAGGTACGATAGATTTCATGGACCCTACCTTATCGTTGAATCTTAATTTTAACTGTATAAAGATTAGTTCCAAACTTTTTGTAAGTTCTTTTGACTTTAAAGTAGTTCGGCATTCTATATTCTCTACATTCATTTAAATACATAAACCGTAGTATGACTATCCATCTTTAGTTGTTAATTATTGTACGAATATACATATTATTGAGTAATATATAGCTTTTTGTTGTCGTCAATGATCAAAAACTATAACTCTATAATCTACCTTTATTTGTTAACCGTTGCAAAAATATCTGTATACTTCATTTTGAATGTAGTTTTTTGTTGTCGGTAGCGATCAAGAATGTGGTAGAACTATTTTATTTGTTTGTTGTTGTACGAATATCTAAGCTTTTTGTTTTGCGTATAGCTTTATGTTGTCGTTAGTGATAAAGAATATCGCAGAACCATATATTTATATTTGTTAGTTATTGCATGAATATCTAAGTTCTTTATTTTGAATTAGGCTTTATATTTTCGATAGTGATCAAGAAAGTTACAAAACATTTATTTATATTTTTAGCCGTTGTATGAATATCTAAGTTCTTCATATTGAATTGGTTTTATGTTGGCATTAGTGCCAAAAAAAAAAAATCTACATTCTTCACTTGAATGTGATTTTATATTGTCTTAGTTAGCTAAAATTGTAATACAAATGTCTGTCCTTATTTGTTAAATGTTGATGAGATATTTATATATTTATGTTCTTTGTTCGAATATATATAGCTTTATTTTGTCATTACCTTATTCTAGTGAACTTGATGAATGATATATGTTTCTAATTCGATTAATTATTTGCAACTTTATTTTCAAATTTTTTTTAATTGAATTGAATAGGGTTCGCATAAACAAATGGAGACTCTAATAAAATATTTAAATGATATTGTTAAGAATGTACCCAAAACATTTTGAATCAAATAATTCAAATTCTAATTCAAATTTAATATGAATCCCATTGTAATATTGGAAAATTAATGAATACTAAATCAAATATTTTTACACATACAATTTGAATACTACATATTTGCTTCAATTCAATTTGTGTAAACCCTATCAACAAAACCATTGTAATGCTTTGCACAGAAAATAGAGGGTTGTAATGTTAGGTTGTAAAGCTGAGGACTTCAGGAATAAACAGAAAAATTAAAGTTGCATTTTATTTTTATTTTTTATAGTTTGGTACCTAAGAAATTTTGGAATTCACAACCCTATTTTATAAGAATATGTACAAATCACTCTCCAGCATATTTGTCCATGGATTTGTGAAAATATAAAATTATACCAGTTTGTTATTTTAATATTAAAAAAAAATACCATATTTTTCAATATGAATATATTATTTTATTTTATATAATATTAAAAATAATTAAAATGAATATGTTCATAATTAACTCCAGCTTGAGTTTCACCATAACTGATGGTTGTTGCTCGACTGAACTTCGGATAACATCAGTCAAAACCAAAAGTGTGTCAATACCTCAGGAGACCGGGGTGCTCTCCTTTTTCAGCCGCTCTCCAAAGGAAGTGCATCACTTGTGGTCGTCTGTTGTCTGCTCAGGATCGTGCTCGTGTACAGGCAATCTCGGAAATTGTTTCATCTCATGATTCTGTTCCATCATACTTCTTCAGAGCATTAAAATCAGATGATCTATCAACTTAAACTGGCAGCGATTTCGATTTCCAGGCCAGGGATTCTAAATAAGCCCCCAACTTCCTAATTCTTTGGACCAGTAAGTACCCTTTCCATAAATTTTTTCCTCACATAGATCTGTTCACTTTCATCCTCCAATTCAGCTACAGCTTCTCCTTGACACTTAATTATGGTTCAATTATTACATTGTAATAAGCCTAAGGATAGACCAAACTACCAAATATTAAAATATATATATATATATATATATTATGGACTACTAAATTAATCAATCTACATAAAATAAGGTTTATTCATAAAAAAATTCTGGATACCCTAAATTGTCTCAAATGTGCTGGATAATGCTGCAACGTGATAATCCGCTTATATTAAAATTACGATAGATTTTATGGACCCCACCATATCGTTGAATCCTAAATTTAATGTAGGGAGGTTTAGTTAGTTACACACTTTTTAGTAAGTACTCGTGATTTTAAAGTAGCTAGATATTTATATGCTCTTCATTCAATGATCATTTAAGTTCGTGGCATTCCCACTTTACGTTGTCATTTGTGACCAAAAACTATAGTACATGGCATTCCCATTTTAACATATGAAGATTTAGTTACATAAATTTAGTAAGTACTCGCGACTTTAAAATAGCTCGATATTTATATGCTCTTTATTCAATGATTATTTAAGTAAGTGACATTCTCACTTTATGTTGTTGTTAGTGGTCAGAAACTATAACCCTACAATCTATCTTTATTTGTTAACCGTAGCATCAAATTTCTTTAAGCATTTTTTGCACTATATGATATATATTACACTCTATTTATCTTTCAACAACTCACATTTAAATTTAAAAAATTAGATTTGAAAGGTAATTTACAATAAATATATTAGTAAGTACAAATTTCATGGATTTGACCAAAGTAAAAATAAGAAAGAAGAACAAAGACCAAAGTAAAAGGATGACTTCATGGATTTGAAATAAAATATAAATAAATACCAAATACCAAATACCTTATAGATTTTAGATCCATTCTTACCCAAACAATACATTAAAATCTAACCATTGTATCTGAAATGCCTCAGGACCAAATGCCTAAAGTCACATAGGCTTTTGCACACTAGAGTACTGGTTGTTTGCATAAGGTCCAAATGACCAAACCAAACATGCAATGTAAATAAATTACAACCAAAAGAACAAGCAATTGTTCACCCAATTCGGCCGCCAACAAAACATACATTCAGAAATTCTAATCATGGTCATTCCACTCTAATCCCTCACCGGGATGCTGCTCGAAGAATCTTCCTGATTTCAGCTCCCTCGTTAGGCCGGTGTACTCCCCTCGCCTTTCTCAGCCAGTTTCCGAAGGAAGCCCATCACCTGTCTATGACTGCCTACTTCGGATCATGGTCACGGACATTTGGGCCTAGACATTGTCTCTTCTCAATATTCTCCTCCATCCTACTCAGTGCCAGCCACCGCTTCTTGGGAGCGTTCAAGTGAGGTGATTTGTTATCCCAAACTGGCGGTGCACTCTGAATGTGCCGATTCTCCATGGCAGGAACTTCCCTTTCCTCCTCCTTTATCGACCTATCTTTCCCCGAAGAAACATCACACTCGGGGACGCGGCTATGCTCCTCAGGTTGAACATTAGCATCCACCACGATGTATGACTTCTTTATTTGTGCCGGCCAATTCCCTGGTGTCCTATGGGCCACAGGTCGCGGAGTATCATACCTGGAAGTAGTTGACATTCCAACCAGATGAGCTGGAGTTTCAACTTGTGGCCTCACAATTTTGCTGGACACCTTCCGCCTCCCTCTGTTGTTGTCCTTCCTACCATGCTTAGGTCTCACAGTTCCAGACCCTGAGACACGGTGCTTCTGCCGATCTGTTGTGCCGCGAGAGGGAGACTCCATGAATAAATGTAAAAAATTTTCGACATCTCTGGAGGAGTCAAAATGGTTGGAGGAATTGAATTGAGAAGGAGAAGAAGGGGGAGAATCAAAATCAGAACCGGACTCTTCCGGCTTCCTGTAATATGCGACTTGAGCGTCGATCATATCAGCATCAGAATCGGAATCATCGAAATGAGAATCAGATGTTTCGTCGGGAGTCTCCTTGGACTGAAACTCCGCGTTAGCCTCCTCTTCCGAAAGAGAATCTAACAGGTCGAAGTACCAGTCCCATCCCCCATTTCTCTGTCCACTGCAGCTTCCCTCTATCTTGCTGCTGGACTCACCTTTTCTCTCATCCATCTGCGCCTTCGCCATTGATCCAAGTCTCCGATCTCCACGACCTCCAGCTGCCTCCTTCATAGTCTTATTTTCTCCGAAACGCTTCTCATGTTCCGCTGATTTCTTGCCGGCCCTAACATTCGATGAAACAGCTTTCTTGTGGTTCACCATTCTATCCACGTTCAGATTGATTATGTATCTGAAACGACAGAACAAGTACAAAGCAAATTAAAACCAAATTGATCCTCGTAATTAATAAATCAATGGATCCCAACAAAAAAACCCTAGATCTAGCATAAAATCATAATCTAAAGTGGGAAAAAAATGGAAAACAAGGAAAACAAATAAACAGCAATAAAAACATGATCGTTCATAAGACGTAGCCAGACAGGAGAGATTCTCACCGGTGACCGGCGTAAGAGACGGCGTTAGGGTTTCCTGATTTCCTGACGAAAAGGAACAATCAAAGCAAAGTTTTAATTTTCCTCACGAACCGATCTTCTCACACTTTCTCCTCCAAGCAGCTTCAGCTTCTCCTTGCCGGACAGAATCGCTACAACAACAAGAGGTTGGCAATGGCACCTGTAGCTCTCTCTGAAGAAGAAGAAGACGGCGATACAATCGAAGCTCGCCCACTTTAAGATATAGCCGCAATACAGTCCGCAATCTGATTCTAGCTAGGTTAACTCTACCCTGCACCCGGACCCACATGCTCAGGGTGCCCCAGATTGCGCCACATGGCGCAATCTGTATTTTACCTTTTTTCCCCCCATCTATCTTCCACACTTCTACATCATCGGAATGTTGCTGCCGCGCTCTTATGCTCCAACCAGTGATGGATGCAAGGTGCAGTCTCCGGCTGCCGAAATTAAAAAAAAAAAAAAAAAAAAGAACTCCTGGTGTTCTACCGTCGATCTACAGACAAATTAGGTTATTTAAAGTGATTAACAAATTAAAATTTTTTTAAAATAAATAAAACATGAAAAAATTCATTTTGGATAAATTGCAGTAGACTAAAGACACTTTCACCCACACTTCTTCCCACTTTTACTACATCTGTAGGGATTCAGTGCTTTATTTCAGCATATGTGCTTATTACTTAACAATTTAATTATCTTAATTATGTTAATTATATAATATAATAAAATAATCAATTTAAATGTTTTCTAACTAATTAAGTTTGGGTACTGAATATTTATGTCACCACCCAATCCATAGCCATTTACTAACTAATGGTTGAGATTTTTGTATAACATTGGTTAATACATTGGTTAATTATATATTAAATTATGTAGTTACAAGGAGGATTTTATGTTGAATCTGCTCATAAGTTTAATCAGATCTTTAATAATTTAAATTAATCAATATTTTCTTAACTTATAGGTGTGTTTGTTTTGGGATTTGGATTTTGAGTTGGAATTTGAATAGTAAAAGTTTTGAATTTGAATAATTGTATGATGTGATGTAATGTGATATTTTGAATGTAAAATTAATTTAGAGTATAAAAAATAAAAAGTAAGTTTTTGTTTTGATGTTTTTGGGAGAAAAAAATTGGATAAATAGTAAATTTTGGGGAAAATCCTCCAAACAAACACACCCTAAGATTGTCAATAATCAAGATTAATTTCATTGTAATAAACCTATGGATAGACCAAACTATCGAATATATAAAATTATTGACTCCTTACAATAGGAAGTTAATGATCAAACATAAAATAAGGTTCATCCATAAAAAAATTCATAGTACCCTATATTGTCTCAAATGTGTTAGATAATGTGTGATAATTCGCTTAAATTTAAGTTACGATTGATTTTATGGACCCTACAGTATCGTTGAATTTTAATATTAATTGTATAAAGATTAGTTCCAAACTTTTTGTAAATTCTTTTGATCACTTTAAAGTAGTTTGACATTCTATATGCTCTGCATTCATTTAAATACATAACATTCCCATTATATATTGCTGGTAGTGATGAAGAACCGTAGTATGACTATCTATCTTTAGTTGTTAATTACTGTACGAATATTCATATTTTTGAGTAATATATAGCTTTTCCTTACCATGAATAATAAAAAACTATAACTCTACAATCTATCTTTAATTGTTAACCGTTGCAAAAATATTTGTATATTTCATTTTGAATGTAGTTTTTTGTTGTCGTTAGCAATAAGGAATGTGGCATAACTATTTTATTTGTTTTCCGTTGCGCGAATATCTAAGCTCTTTGTTTTGAACATAACTTTATTTTGTCGTTAGTGATCAAGAATATCGCAGAACCATATCTTTGTATTTGTTAATTGTTGCATGAATATCTAAGTTTTTTGTTTTGAATGTGACTTTATATTGTCGATAGTGATCAAGAAAGTTGCAGAACATCTATTTATATTTTTAGCCATTGCATGAATGTCTAAGTTCTTCATATTGAATTGTTTTATGTTGTAATTAGTGCCAAAAAAAAAAAAATCTACATTCTTCACTTGAATATGATTTTATGTTGTCTTAGTTAGCTAGAACTGTAATACAAATGTCTGTTCTTATTTGTTAAATGTTGATGAGATATTTATATATTTATGTTCTTCGTTTGAATATATATAGCTTTATTTTGTCATTACCTTATTCTAGTGAACTTGATGAATGATATATGTTTCTAATTCGATTAATTATTTGCAACTTTATTTTCAAAATTTTTTTAATTGAATTGAATAGGTTCGCATAAACAAATGGAGACTCTAATAAAATATTTAAATGATATTGTTAAGAATGTACCCAAAACATTTTGAATCAAATAATTTCAAATTCTAATTCAAATTTAATATGAATCCCATTGTAATATTGGAAACTTAATGAATACTAAATTAAATATTTTTACACATACAATTTGAATACTACATATTTGCTTCAATTCAATTTGTGTAAACCCTATCAACAAAACCATTGTAATGCTTTGCACAGAAAATGGAGGGTTGTAATGTTAGGTCGTAAAGCTGAGGACTTCAGAAATAAACAGAAAAATTAAAGTTGCATTTTATTTTATTTTTTATAGTTTGGTATCTAAGAAATTTTTGAATTCACAATCCTATTTTATAACAATATGTACAAATCACTCTATAGCATATTTGTCCATGGATTTGTGAAAATATAAAATTATACCAGTTTGTTATTTTAATGTTAAAAATATACTCATATTTTTAAGTATAAATATACTATTTTATTTTATATAATATTAAAAATAATTAAAATGAATATGTTCATAATTTTTCTTAATACTTATATAATTTTTAATAACTAATAACAAAAATTTTAAAAAATAAATAAATAAACACTTAAGAAACACAACCTACATATTCTTACAAAATATATTTCCACTCGTCACTTCAAAAAATATAAATTTTTTCATTTTAAGAGATCAAACACAAAATATACAATTTTTCCTTTTAGTAAGTTTGACTCCATTATAGTATATTGTAATATATAGTCAAATTTATACTTATTTACATCAATATAATTATATCAAATTCAAATATATGTATATATTTCAATATTCCCTTAGAGATTAATTTGAATTTGTCTTAGAAAATTTTAAGCAAGCAAATATGAGAAAACATTAGAGCGGATAATGGATTGATTCGTGCTAGATTGAATATTTTAAACAAATTAAATTACTCAATCTTAATCCGATCCCTTTATTAGAGTGTTAAGTTTATATTGATCCGTATACATAATTAAGTCGAAAACTTTAATTAAAATTCAATTATTGTTTTTCGTATTGTCATAGATTTTAGTATAATATATACAATCAATTATGTTGAATTAATTAAAATTAACTTAATTTAAATAAATATATGAACTAATTATTAAATTAGAATAGTTTTACTTATATAATAAACATATTAATTAATATAATATACCATACTCAAATTGTTGTATTGGATTCTAGTTGAAAACATCAACCTTAATCCGATCTATTTATTATTGTGTAGGATTCATATCAATTCGTCTATATAATTAAATTAAAATCAATAATCCAAATTCAATTATTTTGTGTCTAAGTTCGTCTCCCGGTTCTAGAAAACATGTGTAAGGAGCCTTTTAACTGCTCAAAAATATTTAAAATTCTGTCTAAACAAACCTATATGTTAGATATAAATTTAATGGAAAACTTTATTCAAATATATATATATAAAGAGAGCGTCAATTAGTCAATTAGACGTTATAAAAAATAGAAATAATAATTTAATCAAAGATCCCCATTAACACGCAGCACAGGGCAAAAAGGACTTTTCACTACCTCCTTCTTCCTTCTTCGGATGCTTTAATTCTTCCAATGGGAAAATTCGAGCAAAAAGCGCAACTCAAAAAAGTCTCCTGTATTCTTTTCAGGCATGAAAAACAATTCAATCAATCAATCAAAGTTTCAAAAATGGAAGAAAGGAATCCAAAATTCCTTCAAAGAAAACTGCATTAATGGCGTTTCTTCTTCACCTTCACTGAAAAAAGAAATGTCTGCAACAACAGATGAGTTCCCCCAAGATCTCCAATGGCCTCTGCAACTCATTTCGTCTTCAACCCCAGACCTGCAGACCATCTCCTTCTTCCTCTCCCAGCCCTCATCGGCGGCTTCTTTCCAGGAAACAGACAAATCCCTCACCGTCAACATCGCACCCTCCGCCGCCGCGCTCTTCTCGGAGCTCCTCTCAGCTCTGGCCTCCAATGGCGGCCACTCCTCATTGACGAACGTCGAGTTCCACCTCGTCGAGTGGGACGACCTGAAAATGAAAGACCTCCGAACGATTCTCGAAACCAATCCCAGCATCAAACAGCTCACCTTTAAAAGAAACAAATTCTCACCGGAATGCCTGTCGGAGCTGTCGGAAGCTGTTCGGAGAAACGATTCCATCAAGGAAATCACGGTGGCGGAATCCGGGATCGGCACCGGCGGCGCCGCCCTTCTGGCCTCCGCTCTCAAGGAGAATCGGTCACTGGAGGAATTCCAGGTGTGGGAAGATTCAATCGGATTGAAGGGGGCGGAGGAGCTCGCGAAGATGATCGAAGTGAACTCGACTCTAAAACTTCTCACCGTCTTCGACTCCAATCCGGCCACCGCGGCGCCGCTGATTTCGGCGGCGCTGGCGAGGAACAGAGCCATGGAGGTCCACATCTGGACCTCCGATCGCGATCAGAAGACCTCCAAAGTGCTCGAATTCATGCCGGGAAACAGCACACTCCGCGTGTACTACAATCTCGACATCTCCGGCGCCTGCCGCCTCGCCTGTTCCATGGCCTGGAATTCCACCGTCCGATCGCTCGATATGGCCGGAGTAAAGCTCAAATCGAAGTGGGCGAAGGAATTCCGGTGGGTTCTGGAGCAGAATCACACCCTCAAAGAGCTCCGCCTGTCCAACACCAGCCTCAAGAACAAGGCCGCCGTGTACATCGCCGCCGGCCTGTTCAAAAACCAGAGCCTGGAAAAGCTCTACCTTGACAGGAACCTGTTCGGCGGGGTCGCCGTCGAGCATTTGCTCTGCCCGCTGAGCAGATTCTCAGCCGTGCAAAAGCAGGCCAACACGACATTGAAATCGATCACATTCGGAGGAGCCAAGGCCAAAATCGGGCGAGACGGGCTCGCCGCCATTCTCCAGATGCTGACAGGCAACCAAAGCGTGATCTATTTCGGAATCTACGATGACCGGAGCCTGAAGCCCGACGACATCGTCAGAATCTTCAAGAGCCTAGAGACGAACCCCGTGCTGCGGCGCCTATCCCTGCAAGGCTGCAAAGGCGTGCAAGGCGACGCCGTGCTGCAGGCTGTCATCGAAACCTTAAACTCGAATCCTTGGATTGAAGACATCGATCTCTCCAGGACACCCCTCCAGGCTTCGGGACAAGCCGATGGCATAAACCGGATATTATGTCTAAACGAAAGGACTCGCGAAGAAGCCGAGGTAGAGACAGATACCGATCTCCTTGAGAACACGCAGACAACTGCCCCGAAGAGCTGCCGGGTTTTCCTCTGCGGCCAAGAACACGCCGGGAAAGGCACATTATGCAATGCCATATCGCAGAACATTTCCCCGTCGAAGCTGCCATATTTGGATCACCTGAGGAATCTGACGAACCCAGTCGAGCAAGCCGTGAGAGCACCTGCAATCAAAATCAAGGCGATCAAAGATGAAGAAAACACCAAGATCACGATATGGAACCTCGCCGGACAGCATGAGCTCTACTCGCTGCACAATCTCATGTTTCCCGGCCACGGCAGTGCGTCGATTTTTCTGATCATATCTAGCCTGTTCAGGAAGCCAGGCAACAGAGAACCAAAAACCTCCGGCGAGATCGAAGAAGACCTGCAATACTGGCTGAGGTTCATCATTTCCAATTCAAGACGCGCGGTTCAGCAGTGTATGCTGCCGAACATAACTATCGTGCTGACTCACCACGACAGGATCAATCAGCAGGCCGGTGGCCTGCCGGAGGCGACAGTGAGCTCGCTACAAAAGCTACGAGAGAAATTCCAGGGCTTCGTCGAATTCTATCCAATTGTGTTCACAGTTGATGCAAGATCATCAGCATCTGTGAGTAAACTGAGCCACCATGTCCGAAAAACGTGCAGAACGATTCTTCAGAGGGTTCCTCGAGTCTATCAGCTCTGCAACGACCTTGTCGATATCCTGTCGGATTGGAGATTGGAAAACCACAACAGACCTGCAATGAAATGGAAGGAATTCGAGGAGCTATGCCAAGTGAGGGTTCCATTTCTGAGAGTTCGATCGAGGCACGACAACAGCAAAGACAAGGCAGAGTCGAGGCGGAGAGCAGTGGCTTCGAGCCTTCATCACATAGGAGAGGTGATTTACTTCGACGAAATGGGATCCTTAATCTTGGACTGCGAGTGGTTCTGCGACATACTCGGCCAGATAACAAGACTAGATATCAGATCAAAGAAAAGCTTCGATGAAAAAACTGGATTCATAAGCAGAAAATACTTTGAGAAGATTCTGATAGGAAGCTTACAGAGTCACATTCCCGGGAGGGGCTCGAATGTTGTCGAGAACCTGGAACCCGATGAAATTATAAGAACAATGCTGAAATTGGAGCTCTGTTGTGCACAAGATCCATCGGATTCCAACTCGCCATTGCTGATCCCATCCATTTTGGAAGATGGGAGATGGAAGCTGCAGAGATGGCAGCAGGTGATAAGCCCCAATATCCATTTTGTTGGAAGGCGTCTTCAATGCGACGACTCGAGCCACATGTTACTCACGCCGGGATTCTTCCCTCGCCTGCAGGCAAGTTTTGCTGTGCTGACATCTCCTTCTATGGCGCATTTTCTATCAAAAAATGAACGTTAAACTTCAATCTATTCCTCGAAACCTGCAGGTATCATTGCATAACAAAATAATGGGATCGAAGAACCAACACGGCGCATCATACAGCCTTGAGAAGTACCTCATCTTGATAAACATAAACGGGATCCATGTTCGTGTCGAGCTTGGAGGACAACTAGGCTATTACATCGACGTGCTCGCCTGCTCCACAAAGGGCCCGACCGAAATGCTCAGACTCTTCCAGCAACTCATAATCCCGGCAATACAAAGCCTCTGTCATGAAATCGCGCTGACTGAGTACGTTGTTCGGTCTGAATGCGTGAAGAATCTAACGCCTCCAAGATACCGGAGGAGCCAATGTGCACATCTACAGCGGCTAAAGCAGGCGCTGCTTTCGGTTCCTGCAGAGAGCATTTACGACTATCAGCACACATGGGACACGGTTACAGATTCGGGAAACACTATTATAAGCCCTGGTTTTGATTTTGCCCGGGATCTGTTGTCGGATGATGACTTCAGAGAGGTTCTTCATTCGCGGTATCATGACCTGTATAATCTTGCTATGGAACTTCAAGTTCCGGAGGAAAACAATCCAGACCATCCCTCATCGTCTGGTGACGAAATAACAGGCTCGGTCGAACCAACATTTGCCGGGATAGCAAAAGGAGTTGAGGCAGTCCTGCACAGGCTGAAGATCATCGAACAAGAAATCAGGGACGTCAAGCAAGAAATTCAGGGCCTGAGATATTACGAGCATCGGCTGTTGATCGAACTGCATCACAAAGTAAACTACCTTGTGAACTACAACATTCAAGTCGAAGAAAGGAAAGTACCGAACATGTTCTATTTCGTCACGACAGAGAACTACTCGAGGAGGCTGATAACCAGCATGGTTTCAGGCATGACAGCGCTTCGGTTGCATATGCTATGTGAATATCGACGGGAAATGCACGTGGTCGAGGGCCAGACGGGCTGCGAGCTCATGCAGGTGAATAACATCACGGTGAAGTGCCTGGCGCCCTACATGAAATCGTTCATGAAACTGTTGACATTCGCCCTCAAAATCGGAGCTCATTTAGCAGCAGGGATGGGTGAAATGATACCTGATCTGGGCAGGGAGGTCGCTCATCTGATCAATTCTCCGGCGCTTTATGGAGCAGCCGGCGCAGCAGCACTTGGGGCTGCTGGAGTTGCTGCAGCCGTGAACAGGAACAGAGACAGGAGCCCGAGAGACGTCGAACAGGATCATAGAGCAGCTCAGCAATGGGTGATGGATTTCTTGAGGGATCAGAGATGTTCGACTGGAAAAGACATTGCTGAGAAGTTCGGCCTCTGGCGAGTCAGATACAGAGACGATGGACAGATTGCGTGGGTGTGCCGGTGGCATATGCACGCCCGGGCATACGAAATCATGGAGGTGCCGATTTGAAGTGCCACCTGATGCATCAAATCAACAGAGTAATGAAAAAAAAAAAGCAGATATCAGATGAAATATCGACTATGTCTTACAAATTACAACACTGCTTCTAGCTCTTCGCCGCGATGATCTACAGAAGGCAAGTCTAAGAACAGTTAGTTGTATAACAAACCAGAAAGTTAGATTCACAGTAACTATGTAAAAACTGAAGAGCAATTATCTGAAAGCTACTGGTGGTGCAAAGTTCATTTAAGCATACAAGTCAGGATCAGAAATTTAAATCCAACACGAAGTTCTGTAACATAACAATGTTGCTATTAGCATCAGTTTCATTCTAATAACTTAAAAGTTCTCAGAAGAAAGCTCGACTCCCATAAAATACTCGAGAACCAGGGGTCTTCGACCCCGGTGTTTTCTGATCAGAGCTCGAATCTTCAGTGCTGGTTGTTGCGCTTTCAAAGTCTCCGGGAAGCTTCATTTTGGCTAAAGATTCAGTAAACTGCTGCATACTCTTCATGTACATATCGATTATGTCTTGCTGAACTACCTTCGGCTCCGGCTCGATGTTTATGGTGACAAGAGGCTTTCCAAATGTCTTATCATACAGCTCACCTGACCCATTGCTCTTGTCATCTTCTACGTCGCCGCGGGCACTGTTCTTTTTGGAAGTATCTTGAGAAGGTAAGACATTCTCTACATTGGGAGTTTTTGAATCTTTTGGAGCCTCGGAAGACTGGAAACTCGCAGGAACTGAAGCATATGAAGTCCCATGTGTAGATACACTGCTTGGAGGAGAATCAAAGTTTAACTGTGGCCTCGAACTTTCGGACCCTGTCGAGAAGCTCTCCTCATGATGAATATCCGAAACCACTTGAGTTTCGGTAACAGATACAACCGGCTGCGAATCCTCATCAGGGCAAGGCATCATAATGTACTCTTCAACCATCTGATTATTCTCATTTACAATCTTCGGATCCGGGAACTCAATCTTCTCAAAGTCTTCAGGAGCAGTTTCCGAGTCCTGACATATTGGATCAACTTCATTGCATTTGGGCTGCGGCGCAGGAATTGGAATGACTTCCGGAAGGGTCCCAATATAAGAGATTGATAGCTGAACAAATCCAGCAGGCGAGTGAAAGAGTTCGGTCGAGGAGAGAGAGAACTCCTTCTCCAACTTCCCATTGTGAAGGAGGATTTCGGAAACAGGCACCAAAGCGAATCCGAGGAGCTGATCTTCGAGATAATTCCTCACCCTGCTTAGCATCCATATCTCACATTTAAGTGAGGAATCAACCTTTCGAACATTAAGGCCAAGATTCTCATTGAAGATTGGATTTCTCCCGCCACCATTGATGATTTTGGAGGACACCGTCTTCTCGGGATCACTTGTCAGACAAAGTTTGGCATAAACATCTTGGTTTTGGTAGATGCAAATGTTGTGGATGTCCCTAGCTTGGTGAATGTAGACCTCCAAAGCACCATGAAAGTCCTCCGAGTCGCCTACTATGGTTTCTTTTCCCTTGGAATCGGTGTCCCTCGAGAGGATGCTGGGGTTTTCTACATGTTTTTCAAATTCAGGAAGGATCGAAGAGTTCTTCAGCGGCGACACTACTGACTGAGGGGAATCCATGAGTATGATGATGATCAAGAAACAAACCTGAAACCTGAAAAATGTAGCTAAAAATATTGGCATCAAACAAACTCATGAGATCCACATTGGCTACTTGAAAACTAATTCATACATTGCAGCATGGAACTACACTATCACTTGTTTGGGAAAGGATTAGAGAATCAAAATGAATAAACGGGATAATCGTTTGATTCGTGTAATGAATACTTCTTAAAAGTTATAACTCATCCCTGCCGGGATGACACAAATTTAACTCCGGATAATCCAACACAGTAGTTTACGACATTTTCATTAAAAATATATCCTTAGAAGTCAGTTTTGTTTTCGGGGCGCAGCCACAAACCCCATCAAAGTCGAGTTTAATATCGTTTCAGCTAATACAAACATACACTCCATCCTAACTCATATTATAACTCGACATGATATCCCTTCGGTCTCGATTAAATCTAGCTCACACTTAAATTAAGAACATCATTGGTATGAACTAGAACAGAGTCATGCCTATAGTTGAAGCTCTAACCTTCGTGTCGAACAAACATCAGAATTTCAGAATCTTAGCCCAAACCTAATCAATGAATAATCAAAAAAGATGCAGACGTTAAACATCACAACGCCAGAGTGCATATGAAAACAAGGAAAAGGCTAACCAGAAAACCTACAATTTGAGATTAGCATATATCGATAAAAGTGAAAATATTGCGAAATTCAAAGCGCTGAAAGGCAATGATTGGTACCGATTGTAAAATGCGAAGAACACTCCAACAAACTAACCGCCACAACTGATGCTTGCAGTGTTAATCAGAAGCACAAAAATTTCTACGTTGCCGATAATTTACCAGAAGAAATTTACTGAAGAAATTACGAGCAGCCAATACAGAGCACAAATGAATGGAAGCAAATTTCCAGAATCTGTTCATCTTAAACCCCAAAAACCGCCCTAAAATAGACAAAAACCTTCGCAATACATACCAACAAAGCTCCAACCTACTTTCTGTCCATTCGAATTACGCTCCAACTTTTACCAAATATCATCAAAAACAGCGACAGGATTACTACCCAACAATTGAAATCAGAAAGCAAACAAAACAAAGCAGAACGTACCCAAGAGAAAAATAAGGATTCAATCAAAGGCAGAAAAGTAAAGTAGGAATAGGAACAGTAGTAAAAAATCGAAACCCTTTTTCTTGCCTCCAATGCCCCAATTAAATCCAAATTTCCACACAACTTCAGCCACAAAAATCCTCGCTTACAAAGGTTGCCCCTGCAGCAAGAAAATCGAGTGCTCCAGAGTCGCTAAAAGCAGAGCAAAAATGGAAACAGAGTGCTGCGAAGTGCGAAACCTTTACCTGCTCTGCTTCTATTTCAATGGCGGAAATAAAATATTAATAGTAATAAATAAACTAGGAAGGATTTACATAGCATCAGCGACTGCAGAATTTATTGAGTCTGAAGAGGGTGGCAATCACGCGCGCCAATGGACGGCGAGGCACAGGTGGGCGATGTACATTGGTGCGTGAGATAGACGCGCGTCTGCTGCAAATGAGCTTGAAATTTAATTCGACTTTTTCACTGTAATATTATTTTGTTTTAATTTGACATTTTTTAAAACGGCTTTTTCGGAATGGGCTGTCGTTTATATATATTTTTTCACTCTTTCTAAAAGTTTTGATTAAAAAAAGAAAAAATTGCATATATATATATATAAATATAATGTACACGATAATGTTAAAAATTATAATAACTTAGTATAATTTCGTTCCTAGTCCTAGACAGTAGACTCCTAGTCATGAATCTTTATTTTATCTATTTTTTAACCTCAGCAATAATGAGATTCTACAAATATAGATATATAGGCGTATTTACTCTAATACGGCTAATTATATATGGGATAATATACGGTCGGAAATAAATAAAGTGTAATGCTAAGATAAATAAAATTGTTTTCAATACTATTAGCTCCAATTCCAATCATTTTTTTATTATTATTATTACGAAGTGAATAAATCTGGATGTATTATATATTTTATTTGGTGCATTTTTATTATATTAAAAAAAAAAAAAAATCAAATCAAAACAACATACATAACCTTCTTATTTAATGCTAAAACTTCGATGCAATAATTAATTGGACATGAAACGACTACAATGAACAACATCAAAAGCTCTACATCTCTCTCAAATTATTACTACATTACATACACAAACATTTTAACTTATCAGTGGAACAGATACGATAGGACACAGATTCAGATTCAGAATCAGATATATATTGTTTTCTTCAGACACACAAAAGAATGGCCATAGAAATAATTATACCCAAGAAGAAGACCAACCTTGAGCTCGCACCCATTAACCTCTGATCTCCATTTTGCGAAGGATTTGCGCTCGCCGGCGCAACCGCCGAGCCATTGCCGACGGAAAAGCTTCGCGGCCTCTCCCGGACCGCCGGCAGAGGAGCTTCCGACACGTCGTTCTCCATCAGGACAGGGTTCGGAGCCTCGGCCGGAGGCAGGAAGCCTTTCGCCATAAGCGGAATCAGCCCCCCGGGCTGGACCGGCGACATGTACGGCGGAACGTTGGCGTACCCGAGACATCGATTCCCTGCGGAACTCGATTGGATTAGAAATAAGAAAAGATCGTTAAAAATGTCGTCTAAGGTGAAATTTTCGATGAACTCACTTTTGAACTTGGCAGCCGTCGCAGGGAAATCAGTCACAATGCCGTCGATTCCCATGTAGGTGTGGGTGCTGATCTCGACGTAGGCGTCGGAGAAGAAGTCCCACGGCTGCGACACGAATTCGTTCTGGAAGAGCTGCACGTAGACTGAGAGGTTAAAGGCCTTCAGCTTCGGAACAACGGCAGTCTGGCCGACGAGAAAGGCTGCGTTGGAAGGGAACACGCATTTCTTGGAGACGACGACGGAGCCGGCGAATGTTTTTATCTCCAAAATGGTTGCGTTCGAGATGTCCCGGACATCCTCGTCGACGACGTAAACGAGCTCGTAATCGCTGCTGCTTTTTAACTTTCTCAATACAGCGCTTTCGCTCGATTTGATCAAGATCCTCTTGGCTGTCTGATTATCATACCCGGCTTTGTCCAACGCGTCGATTACTGCATCGGTTACTCCTAGTCCTTGTTTCTCAGCTAGGTAGGCTGCATTCTGGAAAAGTAAAACTACGTCGGGAGCCATTGAAACGAAAGATCAAAATTCAAATCTTTGGGCGTAGAAAACTCACCTCTATACTGATGAGGACTCCCGAGACGGACGATGCATTATTAGCGAGCGATAAAAAGTCTGATAACTGCAGCAAGATCCCTTTGTCTCGGGCTTTTGGATTTCGATACAGAGAATACTTCAAGTACGGGTTCGAAATAGCGGCTGCAGTTAAAGCTAAACCACATTAACAGGCAACAGCAGATTTTAACCAATATGCTAACATCGTAATTCTTGTGACAAAATAGTTAAAGCTTCTGGAAAAATCTTACGCTTCAATGTCTGAATTTCACTCCATGTGAGATTATAGGCGAAAACTCCATCCTTTACGTTAAGGGCTGCATCAGTTGTCGCCCTCTTGCTGAAAGCCGTTTCGGCAACATTTGTTTTATCCCTGAGATTGATCGATCCCAAGCAAAACGGTATTCCGTCGCTTGTCATTTGAACGGGGCAATCAAGTATATCGACACCATCCGACACCGCTTTAGCGTAAGCCAGGTCCGTACAACCGGGATAATCCCCGCTGGCTCCCTCGGAAGACATAACCAAAATATTTGCTGGATAAAAGATAAAGAAACATGTCAATATAAATGACTTTGGACAAAAGAGGAAAATTTTTTAAGGGTACGACTGACTGTCGACGCTACCTTGAACTGTCTGATTCTTGCCCATGTGTGAGAAGCAATCTGCAAGAATAAAACTTATTGGAGATGGAAGAAATCGAGTCCGAAAATAGATGTAAGTAACCTGATTTTACGAGATCAGTGCTTACCTATGGCTGCGGATGAAGTTAATGGGAAGTCGGACAGCATACCGTCAACAGAAAATTGACGGTTGTCGATAAAAGAGAGATGCTCGTTGACAGGGTCGTGGCTGTAGTCATACGGCAACGGCGCATCATTTATGAAATTGGATGCGAAAACCTCTAAACCAGAGGTGTGCGCATCCATCACAAGGGACGTGTGATTCGACAGATAAAAGGAACTGTCGACTGGCCATATGTAGGTTTTAGGAACAAGAATTCCGGCAGCAAAAGTCCTGATATACGTAAGATTTCTCAGAAGTGAGCCGTAAGTTTGGTTGGTTGAAGGCTCTGTGTCATCAAGCTCAAGAAATCGAAACACTAGCTTCGTCGGGCCTACTCTGAATCGAGAAACGATACTTTGCAGGAAAGCTATCTCCGGCGAAGAAATGTAGTTAACAATCATGGCCTTGGATGCAGAAATGACGAAGCTCCTCGTACTCAAATTATGTTGGCTGAAAAAGGCGTTGTGCTGCACACAACAAGCAAAGATTATTACGATGATCATTGATCGATCTGAGATGTAATGTAGAAGGATAAGATTTGTTTACCGGAATATTCAACCACATTCCAGGTGGCCTCAGGCGGTAGACATTGTCGACAGTGAGAATTTGCATCGGAGTACCGTCAAAGTTGGGGGAACGAGAATAAATCCTCTGTTTCACTGTTTGATCAATGCATGAACACGAATCAAAAATGCCCTAACTCATTCCATGGAATCGAGACAATATGAATCGACAATAATCAGATGATGTTATTGAACAACGCAAAGGAATTGCAGCAATTAGTTCATCAATGAAAGCTTACATTTGACGAAGGAGAGGTCCTTGAGGGTGAAATCGACGGAGAACCATCCTTGCATCGAGACGCCGTCGACGGTGTAGGTGTTTCGGCGGTCCTTGAAGACGACATCAATGTCGGATGAATTTTCGAGCCTGATGTCGGGGAAGCATATTCCTGCTCCATCTTTGGTGAGCTGAACATCACACCAAACGAGGAGATTAGGCAAGGCGGTCTGCAGAGCGAATTGATAAGCGTAAGAACTGGAATCTGGAAAGATTCCTGAAAACCCGCCTCGTGCTATCACCAAAGGAGGATCTCCTGCAACAATCGAAACAATTACAGACTTCCAAACCGTACATTCGTCGATTCAATCGAAACCTAAACCAAAACCTCCGAATAGGCAAAAACAAAATAAAATCGAAACCCTATGAATTGCTGTGCTCACCAAAATCCTAATTCCTAAATGATACGACCGATCAAGGATAGATAAATACATCCTCCAACATTACCCTTACACAAACTCCACATAGAGAGAGAGAGAGAGAGAGAAATTTAAGAGTACTGACCAGCAAGGGTTTGCCATTTTGTGGGCCTGGATCGTTTAGCCGCAGCCGGAGAGCAGAGAAGGAGAAGGAGAAGCGAGAAGATGGAGAAAGGAGTGCACATTGAGGGAGAATGGTGATGGATCTTCTTCAGGTATAGCTGCTGCTAACCCTCCTCCTCTTCCTCAGCTGCTGCCTCTGCCTCTGGGGGTTTGTGTGTGGCTTTATCAATAGTAAACCCCACTTGCTGCTTTCTGTTCATCACAGAGAAGATAAGCACATACATACAAGCCCAGATACTGTATATATACATATACATATATATATATATATATAGAGAGAGAGAGAGAGAGAGAGTGAGTGAATGTGAAGTGTTTTAGGGTAGTTGATGATTAATGAAGAAGATGGTGTGAATGCATACGGCAGTTTGCAGAGATTACTGTGTTGTTTATAGAGTGTGTTTGGGTGTGTCATTTTATTTTATTTTATATTATTTTATTTAAGTGAGATCATTGTTAGATATAGTAGTAAGTAGTATTATTTTATATTAAAATGTGTATAATTTAATAAAAGTACTGTACATGCTCTTGGAAATTTTATTTTATTTTTTTATTAGTATTATTCTTAAACAGTAAATAAGTAAAATATATATATATAATGTAATAAAAATAGTGTCCGTGATAGTTCTTATTATTAATTATCGACAATTATAAAAGGATATTAAAGTATTTGATTGTATTGTTTTTTTAACATTTTATCAAAAAATATTATATAATTTTATTAAAAATGGTATGTATTAAAGACATACGATTACATCACATAAAAAATATATATATTATAATAATAATAATGAAATTTACTCAAATATTTCAAATACATAATGTTTAAAAACACAAACAAACAGGAAAAAAAACATTAGTGGCGTGCAATTAGTATAATAATAATAGTGAGTGGAGGGAGCACTAACGGTAATCAACAGACATCATAGCCAAAAATATAATCGTGGATTCCAACCAATCACATTTTTTTATATATATTTTTCTTTTTTACTAATAATCATTTGATTATAAATCACTTTTAATTATTTTTAATTTGAGATAGTAAAAAATACAATTGTTTGAACGATCAAATAGTTGTTTAGTATTTTAATTTCAAGTAAATTTTTATATATATAATAAAAAAAAAATTATATTGATAATATTAAAAATAATATTTTATTTAGAATTTTAATTATTTTTTTCTTAGATAATAAAGTATATATACTCTTCGTTTCAGTTCAAATAAATTTTTTTAATAATAATATTTTATTAATAAGTTAAAGTATGTAAAATAAATTTGGATATTTTTGTATCTTTAGTATGTGATCAAATAGATAAAAAGATATTCACATAAATTTTGGTTCCAAATAACCTTAAAGTGTATTTGATTGAGGATTTGAATTTTGAATTAAGATTTGAATATTAAAAATTTTGAATTTAATAATTGTATGATCTGATATAAGACAGGTGTTGATAATTTTTAATTTAATATAAAAATAAAAAATATGTGTTATGTGATATTTTTGAAGAAAAAAAAATTAAATAAATTGTAAAAATCTTTAAAAATCCTATAAACAAACACACCCTTAAATTATTAGGGAGGTAGTGTTTATTTGAGATTTATTTAGAAAGATTTGATTTAAATTATATTCAATATGATATTTTATCAGAAATATATAATTCAAAATTTCAAATATAAATCTTAAAATAAACACGCCTAACTATCCATCCATCCCAATTGTTAAAAACCTCTGATTGTACGAATATTACACATAATATATATATAGTACAGAGTTTCTTGACATGAAATAATACAAACTTCCACACACCAACCAACTACAAAACCAACCTAATTAACAAAATGATCCACACAGGAAAACTATGAACATATTGTAAATTCTAAACTGCTACTTTTGTATGGAAGCAAATCACAGGAATACATACATACATACATACAGATATATATAGAGAGAGAGATTGCAGAATGATGTACAACATACTTGCCTCAGGGCTCAGAGCAAAATGGCAGAGCAAACAGTGGAAATAATAGCGAAGATCGAGCTTGCGACGAGCCTGGATTGGCCATTTGGCGAATTTAGAGCCGGCGAAGTGGAGCTGTTGCTGGTATCAAGGGTGGGAAGCCTCTTCCGGACCGGGGGGAGAGGAGCCTCCGCCAAGTCACTCTCTGTCCAGACTGGCTCCGGCGCCTCGGCTGGAGGCATCGAGCTTTTTGTTATAAATGGAAGTAGCCCCCCCGGCTGGACAGGAGTCATGTAGTTAGGCTTCGTTTTATACCCCAGGCATCTGTTCCCTGTTGAAAAAGTTCAACAAACACTTAATAATATTGCATGTGGATGTGGTTTTCAAGAAACTCAATTTATTCGACAAAAAACAGAAAATTACATTATCTGACATAAATGACCGTCTCACCTAAAAGCATCATTTATTTATTTATTTATCGGGAGTACACCAACAATCATTATGTCATCAACGCATCTGCAGTGCACAATCAGTAGTGTGTGTGTGTGTGCGCGCGCATTTATGTGTTTAAGAAATGGCGAGTGAACTTACTTCTGAATCTGGACGCCGTGGCAGGGTATTCTGTTATGACACCATCGACTTCCATGTAGTTGACGTGTGTGTTGATCTCCATATATGGATCAGAGAAGTAGTCCCATGCTTGAGAAACGTATTCATTGCGGAAGGTACTGACATAGACGGGGAGCTTGAAGTCATGGAGCTTCGGGACAACCTTTGTGTCACTGGTGAGAATGCCCCCGTCAGAAGAAAACACGGAGTTTTTGGAGACAACCACTGCACTAGCAAATGTTTTTATCGCCAAAATAGTGTCATTCGAGATGTCGCGGATATTCTTATCGACTTCATAGACAAGTTCGTAGTTGCTGCTGCTGCTCTTAATCTTTTTCAGTACTGCACTTTCACTGGATTTAATCATAGTCCTCCTGGTTGTCCGATTATTATAGCCGGCTTTGTTCAAAGTATCCAAAACTATATCAGTTACCCCTAATCCCTGATTCTCAGCAAGGTAGGCAGCATTCTGCAAAGTATTAAAGATATAAGATGTCATTTTGATTACACAACTTTTTACAGTGTCTCCCCCACAGAATGAAGATGAAAAATAGACTTGTTCTCGCCATTTAGTGATTCTCTTTAATTCCTTGATCTTACAGAACACAAGAAATTCTTACTTAAAAATAAGGTACTCAAATTTGATGAGCAGAACGATATTTCACAAAATTATTGAAATATAATCCCAACATTAGGATTGTACAATGAGTCGCCAAGCTCAATAGAAGCTTAAAGCTACCTCTCCTTTATTATAATGAGCAACTTTTTCCTGATACATTTTGATATTAATAGAATATATATTATATGCATGTATACACAGAATTAATATGTTACTTTCTACTAATCATACATTATTAAGAGTACCTATTTATTAAATAAAGTAAAAACATGATGCATTAGTTTCTCAAGAAACTTAACATTTGTAATCTGCCAGAGCTTGACTCAATTTTTGCACAAGCTTTTGAACCGAAAATGCTATTAAACATCCTATCACTGTATTATAATTTGTTTCTTTATACGCATAGATATTGCTGGTGCTAAGGCAGAAAATATCTTAAATTATGTTTATCTCAATATTTACGAGACTACAAGCTAACTCTGCGGCAAACTGCCTCACCCTTACCACTCGAAATATATTATGTTAGTGCTAAAGAAGTAAAGATCCAGGTATATTGCGCTAAGTATACTCACCTCTATACTGATGAGGACTCCAGAGACAGAAGATGCATTACTTGCAAATGACAAAAATTCTGATAACGGCAGGAAACTCCCTCCAACAGCTTTTGGATTTCGAAACAGATTGTAATTTGTATATGGATTGGTCATGCCAGCTGCAATAAAACCAAAGTAGTGGATCATTGCACACTTTATCTACTATTCCCAGAGAAATTTGACTACTGTACTCTCATAATAAATCATGGTGAAGCGAGAGGGAATTGGATGATAAGCAGAGAACTCATGATATATGACTCAGATTTCAAATATACTTACGCTTCAAGCTCTGAATTTCACTCCATGTAAGATTGTAGGTGAAAACCCCATTCTTTATATTAAGATCTGTATTGGTTGCAATCCTATTGCTAAATTGCATGGCAGCATTTTCTGTTTTCTGTCGGAGGTCAATAGATCCCAAGCAAAAAGGTATTCCATCACTTGTCACTTGCACAGGGCAATCAAGTATATCCACACCGTCTGACACAGCTTTAATATAAGCCATATCAGTACAACTAGGAAGATCACCACTGGCGCCCTCAGAGGAAATAATCAAAAATTTTGCTAAATAAGACAAAGAAAAGGATGATGTCAATAGTGATATATATATATATATATATATGTTTCAGCTTTAAACCATAGAGAAATATATTCAACTCTGCTGTAACAGAGTCCAACTGTTAATGCCTACCTTGGATTGGATCATTCTTGTTCATGTGTGAAAAGCAGTCTGCAAGAACAAAATAGATTAAAGATAGAACAATGCTATGTTAACAACAAGATACAGTTCAGTATTCCAGGAAATAGGCAATACTCAATTTTAATATGATTGTGAGAGAATTTACCACTTTCGGTTGTTATTTTCACCCCAAAATAAAATCCTAAAAACCTTCACATCGGAGTCCTCCAAAATAACCTTTTCTCTCTAATATATACAGATTTAAATTTCACCAATTGCACTTTGTGAATAGACTAATTCAAATACACAAACATTGGCTGTGGGTGTGGGTGTATGCGCAGAAATATATTCACAAATACTCATATTCAAATATACTGACAATGGATAGATTTATTACTAAACCTTTCTTATGTAATATATAGAACATACAAGAACTGTCAAATCAGAGATACATTTGTATCAAGATAATTTTGTTCAACTACACAACAACACACTTGGTGTGGAAATATTTCATTGATACATAACATTAAAATCACACAAAAGTTCCTGAGTTCAATTTAGCAAGGAAATTTTGGCCATTTAAAAAATTAGCATACTGATTATAGACAATGACTTTAATGAAAAAGGAAAAACAAGAGCATTGTGAAGATATACAATTCCCTGTGAAATCAATTACAAGATGATGCTACTTTATCTAGATTACTTTCCTGCCAGTAATCTGATTTGTGGTCTTTAATATCCACCAAATTAGAACAAGAATAAATTATAACAAAAGTGGATATGTCAAATGATTGAATGAGAGGGCTAGCCAAAGGATATGAAGGTGTACCTCACCCATCCTATGGGCACTAAGCTAAACTCTATATCAAAGCAAGATGCAGTTACTTGTAGCTTTAGTGGGCAACTTAGATAGTAATAGTCCAAATTAAAACGATAATATAAAAGGAAAGCATTTACAAGAAGCCAATGCATAACTCCCTCCAATGCAAGTAAAACAAAAGTCTAATGAGCCCATCCAGGAGAGAAATGATACAGAAAAGTCACTTGATCTGATACAGAAAAGTTGAAGTTTATGGAAAAAATGCAATACCCTTAAACATAGAGATGCCAATAAATATGATTTTCTTGCATTAATCTGTTTAACAAGAAAATTAAATGATAGGTGCCACATGAGCCAGGCATTTCAAAAGTTCCTGTTTATCACTACTATACTATTATAATTTATAAGGTAGAAGAATCATAAGAGATCATTGTTTACCTATGGCTGCAGATGGAGTCAATGGGAAGTCAGACAGCACACCATCAACAGAAAATTGGCTGTTGTCAATAAACGAGAGATACTCGTTCACAGGATCGTAGCTGTAATTATATGGTATTACTGATGCATCATTTGCAAAATTGGATGCAAAAACTTCTAAACCTGCTTTATGTGCATCTGTTACAAAGGCCGTGTGACCCTGCAAATAGTAGGAACTATCTAGTGGCCATATATAAGTTTTAGGAACAAGAATTCCAGAGGCAAAACTTTTAATAAATGTAAGGTTCAATAAAAGTGTATCATATGTTTGTTTTGTTGAAGGCTCTGTTATATCACCCCTTGGAACTTGAAACACAAGCTTTGTCCGGCCTGTTCTCAATCTTGGCCCAATACTTCTCAGGAAACCCACCTCAGGTGATGAAATATAACTGATAGTGTAGGATTTGGATGCAGAAACAATGAAGCTGCTCATACTCAGATTGTGCTGTTTAAAAAATTCATCATACTGCACAAGTATTTCAATGAAGGCAAAGTCAATTAGGAGTCCCCTAATATAACCTGATAAGTAGAAAGCATGATTAAGAAGGATATGATTACCGGAATGTTTAACCATAATCCATGTGGTTTCAAACTAACTACATCTTTAACAGTAAGAATTGGCATTGGAGTCCCATCAAAGTAAGGGGCACGAGAATAAATATTTTGTTGCACTGTCAAAAAAAAAACCATAAAGAAAAAGAAAAAGAAAAATTTGAATTTACACAGTGAGTTCATGTTATTAAATTCAGAAATATAAGCAAACAAACTCTGCAAGAAGCCAGAAAATGAAACTATTTATTAGCATGATAGCCAACCCACATACTGTATAAACATTGATGATTAAGATGAAACAGAAGTTTTTGATCTGTTGCACCTATACGTTAAGTGGCAGGCCCATTCGCCATATAGCTTATATGAACAAGGAATCTCATTCAGTTTCCCTTCTAAGATAAGCACAGAAATACTTAAAGCTATGTAACCAAAAAGAATCACATTTGAATTTCTACCATGTAGCTGAATGAATTACTTAAACCTGACCTTTCAGCAACCCTTTATATCATAAAGTCATAATTTCATTAAGAGGAATGTACAAAAAATTGTTTGAAGAGTTAAATATTCATGCTTCATGCTAAAATTCATGACTTAAGGACTGTCTCAATCATAAGAGTAGGAAATACACAGCTCAGGGCTTTGGAGGAACAGCAATTGTGTGCTCTGGCTTTCCTTTATTTCTCTTTTATGCGAGGGTTCCCAAATCAACGGACACATTTTTAATATAGAAAGGGAAAATGACAGATATTAAAGAAACAAAAACTGGTGTTGGAAGGTTCTATCATCCTATAAACTTGAGTAGGACTGCAGTTAAGAGATATCCAAAGGCACAGCATAGCACAATGAATAAACACTACAACAAAAAATGAGCATATTGGAAGTAACAAATTTTGTTGTCACCTTAACACCAAGTAAACAGATAAACATGGAAATAAATAAATAAATTACGGTTGACAAGTGCTAGTTCGTCGAGGGTGAAATCCACAGAAAACCATCCTATAACCTGCTCTCCATTCACATTGTAGGAACTATTCCGATCTGAGTAAATCACATTGATGTTAGAAGCATTATCAAGCTTGATATCTGCAAGGCATACTCCAATCCCATCTTTGGTAAGCTGAACATTGCACAAAGCTTGCGAATTGGGGGCATATAATTGTGCAAGCCTATATGCATACTCGCTGGAATCGGCAAAAACTCCTGAAAACCCCCCTCTTGCGATGACAATAGGAGGTTCTCCTGCCAAAATAAAATTTAAGGGTTACGTTTGTGAAACCTGCATTGCGAAGAAAATTGTAGGAGAATCTGGGAAGGCTGATTTGGTGGTGCAGATAATGCAAACTCAAAATCTTTGAAAAAAGTGAAAAATATTCATTCATTTACATGCTTCCCAAAAGAAGATCCCTATAAACTACGTCTATCTACAAGCTATCTCCTCCATAGGAAAATACCTCAGCACATCCAAAAAAACATCAAACTAATAAACTTCTAAGCTTTAAACAGCTACAACTTCCAAATCCTTCAACAACGACAACAGTATCCATCAAACTCGAAGCTACCAATTATTAAAAAAATAATAAATTTGTCTAATGTCAGCAATCATCAATAATATCGACACCGCCATTACACCAAAAGTAGTATACACCGACAATGAATCATGTCACGAAATCCTTCCATCATTCACACGCACGCAGCAGCACTCTCCACAGTCACTCACACACTCAAACAGTACAAAAAAAAGCAAGAAAAAAATCCTTCACCGGAAAGCGTTAGCCAGTTCCTGCCTCTACCCCTAGATCCCTTAGCAGTCGCCGAGGAGCAAAGCAGGAGAAGTGAAATCATGCATAAGCTCCGGTGGAGCTTCCACATTGCCGGCAGATTGCTGGAGTTTCCGGCTAAGCGGTTACTTTTTCTCCTCCCCACGTATTAACTGCTGCAACAACTGAAAGTGCTCACAGAGTTATCAAACCTACTTATATACCCCACCCCAAAGCATGTACGTAATTGTCTTCTTAATTACTTGAATACCACGCGCCAACACGCGCCTATATACACTTTATATTATTAAAAAAAAAAAGATTATTAATCAATAAATACAATTATGTCAGTTAGTCATAGAGTGTAATTTGAGCGAGTTTACTTTAGGGTTTGTTTGTTTGGGGAATTGAATTGGATTTACATTATTTATTTCAATTTTTAACATTATCGTGTACATTATGGGTGCGTTTGTTTGAAAGATTTTGGTGAACTTTTACTATTTACAAAAATTTTTTCCCCAAAAAACATTAAATCAAACATCTATTTTTTATTTTTTATATTATACTAAAAATCAATTTTATATTCAAAATATCATATCAACAACTATTTATATCACATCATATAACTATTCAAATTCAAAATTTTTACTATTGAAATCCCAACTCAAAATCCAAACCCCCAAACAAACACGTTATATTATATTAAAAATCAACTTTACATTTAAAACATTACAACAATACTTATTTATATCACATCATACAATTATTCTAATTCAAATTTTTTACTACTCAAATTAAAATCCAAAATCCAAACCGCCGTACACATACAACCTTAGGGTGTGTTTGTTTGGTGGTTTGGATTTTGAGTTGAGATTTGAATAGTAAAAATTTTGAATTTGAATAATTGTATGATGTGATATAAATAGTTGTTGATATGACGTTTTGAATGTAAAATTGATTTTTAGTATAATATAAAAAATAAAAACTAGATGTTTGATTTGGAGAGTGTTTGAGAAAGAGCTTTTTTAAGAGCGTTTAACTTATTGAACAGATTTTAGTTGTTTAACCAGTTAAAACGCTAATTTAGGTGTTTGGTAAATTAGCTTTTTAAAGAGTTTTTTGGGTCCAAAAAGCTAATTTCTAAAAAGTTCATCTACTCAGTGTTTTGAAAGAGCTTTTCATTTTTATTTTGGTTATTCTTTATTTACCATTAAAACTTAATTATTTATTTTATACATATAAATATATTTTTATAGCAGTATTTATTAATTATTTTTAATATATTTAATTTATTAAATTATTTTTTATTTTTATAAATTTAAAATAATAATTATTATTAATTATTACATATAAATTGTTTTTTTTTTTAAATATATAAATTTTTAAAACTAAATCAAATAGAAAAAATAAAGGTTATTAATTTATTTATATATACTAAAATAATAATTAATATAATAAAAATATATATACGGAAGATTTATTATTTTATATTTTATATAATTTCAATAAAAAATTATTATTTTTTTAGTAAAAATAATTTTTTCAGATTTAAATAATAAAAATAACAATAAATATTTTATAATATTTTTATAATTTTCATTAATTAATAACAAAAATTCTCATAAATTTCAAACTAAAATGAATAAAATTAAATATTTTAAAAAATAACATATCAATGTCTTTTTAATAGTCATGTATAAACAGCTAATATCAAACACTTGTTTTACCAAACACTTTGATACAAATCGCGAATTGAATCAACTAGTCAAACCAGCTAATTGAATCATCTAATAGTTAACAGCTATTTAAATCAGCTATCAGCTAATTATCAAACGTACCTTTGATGTTTATGGAAAAAAAAAATTGAAATAAATAGTAAAATTTGAGAAAAATCCCCAAACAAACACACGGTTGATATATTTTTTGTGTAAATAGTAGAAATCTCTTATAATCCTCAAAACAAACACACTCTTTATTTATAGGATTTTGCTAAAAATTAATTATTCATTCAATATTTTTTATTTTAAAAATATCAAATCAAAAATTTATTTTTTTTTTATATTATAACATTCAAAATATTATATTAACATATATTTATATCATATTATACATTTATTTCAATTTAAATTTTTTACTCTCGAACAAAACACACTCTAATTAACTATTTAAATACTTGATTAACTAAATGTTATGATCGGCGGCTGCTGTAAGCCAGCGCCAGCCGCCGGAGATTACAGTAATGAATTACCTACCAATAGCCAAGCCGGCAGCTGGATGGGAGACAGCTGGCTGACTGTCCAGGCATGGGTCATGGCTATTCTGTCTTAATAGACGCGTAAACGGGTCGCATTCAGGGCAGGGCGGGGCCCGACCCATTTTGTGGGGGGGAATTATGTGCAAGCAGCTGGAAAAGGTTCAAGTCTTTTATTAATATAATTATTAAGTAATTACCATTTGCCTCGTGCGGTAAATATTTATGCTTTAATGTAATTGTTGATGTAATTTTTCAACAAAAATAAAGTAAAATTCAAAGATATAGAAAATATCCTTAAACTTGATTAATTAGTGCCTGAGATTAGGAATCTAGTACGGTACAGAAAATAAACTGGAAAATAAAAGACTGAAATTTAAAGTGGTGATCCCCAAATCTGACTTTGCTTTGTTGAAGTTGATTGAAGATACCTTGCCAAATGATTATCCAAACCTTTAAATATTCTCTGGGAAACTGTGCTGAAAACCGTCGCCCGAACGGTTACAACGTCTCCTTCCCAACCGTCTTCCAATCCTTCTCCTGCTGACACGTGTCCTCAGCAGACCACAATTATCCCTATAATTCCACTCTTTGAGCCTACCATAGACCTTCCGCCCTTTTGGCCCGACTGCTAATCTACAACCGCAATGGTCCGACTGCCAATCCTCCCGACTTGCAAACCATCTGACTTATTTGGAGTAGCTACAGACATCCCGACTAACAAACCATCCGATTTGTTGGTCCTGCCGCAGAGTTCCGATTTGGGAACTTCCCGTCCTGAAGACCTCCCGACTTACGGATTTCCCGTCCTGAGGGCCTCCCGACCTGCGAACTTCCCGTCCTGATGACTTTCCGTCTTGAAGACCTCCCGACCTGAAAACCTTCCGACTTGAGGTCTTTCCGCCTTGAAGACCCACCGACCTAAAGTCCTTCCGTCCTGATAACTTTCCGTCTCGAGGACCTCCCGACCCGAAGACCTTCCGCCCTGAGGTCTTTCCGTCTTGAGAACCTCCCGACCTGAAGACCTTCCGACCTGAGGTCTTTCCGTCTTGACTCTTGAGGACCTACCGACTTGAGGTCCTTCCGTCCTGATGACTTTCCGTCTTAAGGACCTCCCGACCCGAAGACCTTCCGCCTTGAGGTCTTTCCGTCTTGAGGACCTACCGACCTGAGGTCCTTCCGTCCTGATGACTTTCCGTCCTGAGGACCTACCGACCTGAAGACCTTCCGACCTGAAATCTTTCCGTCCTGAGGACTTTTCGTCTTGTATTTTCCTTAGAAATAAACCTATTTTCCTTGATTTCCTCACGATGTCCTTCAGCCAGCTCAATCAACCCTATTGTCAGGCCCATTCTTCTTTTTACCTTGGGCTTTTAACCTAATTCTAAATTTCGTACGTAACAGTAATATTGAGTTTCTTCATTTCATAATTTTTCTGATACCACTTGTCTATTTTTATAAATAATTATTTAAATCAAAATAATAATTACATATGTTAATATGTTGAAACGTAAATTAAATTTAGTTGTCCAACCAAAATCAAAAAAAAAAAAAAAATGTTTTAATTGATTGAAATTTTTTCTTTATTTTTTTGGTCTCGTCTTAATTAAGATGCAGTGAGTTGGCTAAAAATTGAGTAATTCTGTAGTTCCACTTCATATTTAAAGTGGAATATTTTGTATATTTTTGTTATTTTGAAGTAACACTTAGACAGATTTGAATGTGCTGAAAGCGCAAGAATAGATGCAGCAAGAAAGGCGATGCGGGGAATGACTCTTGGAGAAAAACGATGACATGACAAAAAAAAAAAACTCGTCCAAATGCTATATATATATATTTTCCCTTTTCGATGTTCTTTTGCTTTCATGTATGAGAAATTAAATCTTTTATCAAGTCCGATGATCGATTGATGATTTGAACAACGTAGTTTAATTTGTGACATCGAATCTTTAATTGATAATTTCCATTGAATTATTTGATATTCGTAAAATTTCTGTGTATGCGTAGCGTGTCTCATTTTATTTTATTGATCTTATATGATGACCACGTATTTATGTTGAGTTATAAGTCATAATCAATTGAATAATTTGCATCTGTAATTGTGTGATTATTTGATTCAGTAACGATAATATAAGTATCTTGGGAATATAATTTTGATAATATGTAGAATTTAGGGAGTCATAATTGAGTTTTTCTAAAATATAATGCAATTGAGAAAATCAAATTTATAGTCATTCTTGAATTTTTATTTTTATTTTTTTGAATTAGAGAAAAAATTGAACATTATTCAACTTTTATAATCAATTTAATAGAATAAAATATGCTACCTATGATTCACTTTTGAGTTTTTATTGATTTTATTGACATCCTTGAATGAATGGCTTTCTTGGTTCCCATTACTTTTTATTTTAGTTTATAATTAGATTTAAAGTTAAAATTTTTTATTTTTTAATTAATTTTACTATATAAAAAAAAATCAATCAATTTATATGAAAACGGATCAAATCCTTGTAGATCAAGTTTGAGGGTTGGATTCCAGGTTCGATCCTCGGTGAGTGCGTGTGTGCATGTGTCGGGTGAAATGCTGGGGTGTGCGTGATAAAAAAAAAAAAATAAAATCAAAAAATCAAAACATAAATGCAATTATTAGCACCGGGTGGGCCCATGTTTGCCCGGATCTTGGATCATCCGCATGATAGTCAAGTCAATTATGCAGCTAATTTCCAACGATCATTTTTTTAAATTTAAATCACCAATTTGCAGTGGTCCCATTCATATCCTATCCTATCCTATTCATCCAATATTTATTATTTGGAAATTTCCACCCACAAGAATAATAATTGTTTGTTTTTTTAATACCTTATTTTCTTGTATTGTTGTTATTTGTTTTTTTTTATTACTCGAATCAAATTTTGAATTTAGTCATTTAATGCTTTTTTTTTTCTTTAAATAATACTAATATTTTTCTATCCGAATTTAATGTAAATTAAAAATAATAGTATTTTATTGGTAAGCGAAAATATGTAAAATTATTTTGATATTTTTCTTAAAATTAAATATTTTTTTAAAAAAATTAATAGTATTTTAATATATATAATTTTTTTTACTATAATTTTTTTTTAGAAAAAAGAAGATATTTTGGATGGGACAAATTCAAAAAATATACTATGTTAAATTGAGACCAAAATAATAAAATTTTACTAAAATTATTATAGGTGCAAAGAAAAAAAAAAAACTAATATTTTTATTTTTACTCTTCGTAAAAATAAAGTAAAGTAAACCATCTTCATTCGTATATAGTTTACGTTTACTTTTTAGTTTTACATTTGATTTTACTATTTTAAATTTTTTTTAAAAAATAATATTAAATCAAACACTTAATTTTTATTTATTTTATTACAATAAAATTTTATTTTACATTCAAAATATCACATCCACACATATTTATATCACATCAAACAACTATTTCAATTCAAAATTTTACTATTTAAAATTAAAATTCAAAACTAAAATCACACAAATAAACACTAATGGATTTATATTGCATCAAAAGATTATTCTTTTTTTTTTATTATTTTTTTTTAATAAAAAAGCTTCTTTATTTATTTAAAAGAAAAGAAAGAAAATGACACATGTGAATCATTTCATAAGAAGGACAAAGCAGTGGCGAGTGGACTAGAAATTTCTTCGTTCCAACTTCCAAGTCAAGTCTCCTAATAAGATAAACAAATTCGTTCCTTTTATTCCTATAATTTCCAATTTCCTTCCATAAAGCAATAATAACAATAATGGAAATTGATAGAATATAATGAGAAAATTACAGAATAAGTAAGACATTCGAAAATGTTATGAAAATTTGAGGAAATTAAGATGAAACAACAAGGACAAAAGAACACAAGAATTTGGTAACCTAGTTCGATCACGATGATCTACGTCTGGGGGCGCTGCCACGCCAGGAATTTTACTATCAATTACGCAGGCACATATTAAAATGAAAATACATGGATATTTATAGCCTAAGCCTTTGACAATAATATCCAAATCATATATCTGAAATCTAAAATATAATATTCAAATCATATCCCTAGATTTTAGGATATAATCAGGCTTCATATCCCAACCGAAAATAAAATGATAGACGCTGTAAGTAGTCCGGAGGGAGTATGATATACCATCCTTTTTATATCAATGGGCCGATTCAAAGCCCAAATTGCACAAAATATGGGCCTTAAAGTAGCCGGGCCCGGTCTGGGCCGACCAACATTCGGAATACAAGTTATTTGCAGACTTGGAAACGTACTTGACTTTCGAGGATGACGATGGAGGTCGATAGTCAGTTGTCCTGTAGTGAAGCAGAAGCAGCAGCATTTGCAGCGGAGGACACGTATCAGCATGAGTTGCGGCTGCGCGCCAAGTGGCTTATGCGAATCGCTAGTCATACTGCTGATATCCTTCGTAGTACTTAGCATAATTCCAATGTTTCCGCACTGTGCTCAGTCTGATTGTTCGGGGAATGAATATCGATGGACAGTGTGTTCGAATTTGCGCGGAACGTAGGAGAGGCTCACGAGCAGGTGGTTTCCATAACGTTGTTTGTGGCGATTCTCTGCTTCTGTTTGGTGATCGGACACTTGCTCGAGGAAAATCGATGGGTTAACGAATCAATTACGGCGCTTATAATCGTAATACGCACATAGAAATTTTTATTCTGATCCTCGTCTGTTCTGTGCATGCCTTTTATTTTCGTTTTGTTTGGTTGTTGATGACTATTTCTGAGGATAGGAATAAATTCATATTGTTGTTAATCAGGGATGTGTTTGCGGAACTGTAATACTCTTTATAAGGAAGGGGAAGAGTTCGCACATATTGAGATTCGACGAAGATATCTTCTTCATTTATCTACTGCCGCCAATCATTTTTAATGCTGGGTGAGTTTCTTCTCCCTGCTGAAGATTACTGTAGCTCTGTTTTATACTCAATAGTGATTTAACTTCAAACTGGCAGTGGCATTTGTTTTTCTTACTCTTTGGGATTAAACTGTACGTTGCATCCAATCTTGTGACAGATTCCAGGTCAAGAAGAAACAATTCTTCCATAACTTCTTGACCATTGTGTTGTTTGGAGTAATTGGAGTTTTTATATCGACTTATGTGATTACGACAGGTACTTTACAATGCATGCTCATATATCACTGACTTGAATATATATATATATTATATATATGATACGTTTAGGGTGTGGTCATTTATCTGACATTTTTCCCCATCTTACTGTTGCTATAGGCAGTTCGTTGATGTTCCCCATTTTCAGTTTTAATGGCTTGACTCCTCGCGATTTTCTTGGTTCGTCTGATGAAGGCTTGATGTGATTTTTAGTGATTGTTAATTATAAATATCTTAACTAATCTTGAGTCCTAATGTTTGTGGGTTTTCCTTCCTTTTTATTTGGACAAGCTATTGGGGCCATATTTTCATCAACAGACACAGTCTGCACTCTGCAGGTGAGCGAATGCTATTAAGCTTTGATTTGGTTCTAGATTTTCTCAGATAGCATAAGGTATTCTGTGCTCCATAAATGGCATACGAATTATCATGCAGGTTCTGCATCAAGAGGAAACTCCCTTGCTATACAGCTTAGTTTTTGGGGAAGGGGTGGTAAATGATGCCACATCAGTCGTTCTGTTCAATGCAGTTCAAAAGTTGGATGTCAATAGAATAAAAGGATGGACAGCAGTCAAAGTTATTGGTGATTTCCTATATTTGTTCTCCACGAGCACTGCTTTAGGTGTTGGGGTGAGTTTGACTTATGCAATTGTGTAAAACTTCATGCTACTGCTCTTTATTTGTTCGGAAGAGTTCTCTTCAGTTCTTTCTTCAAAATTCATGCTACTCTCTTTTGACTGATGATCCCTTTTTAAGTAAAAAAGTATTGTGTTATGCTGCAATAGGATGGAGGATTCACTTAAAGGTTATAGATGTGGTCTTTGATCAACTCCCAACAGTATCAAAACTTTTAATATGTCCAATGGGTTTGTTATTATAATTTCAGACTTGTGTTCACTGATATAAAATGTTCATTATGTTGGTTTGTTATAATTTATACGGAAACTGAAAGGTGCTAACTCATATTTGTCAATCTTGCCATAAATGTTCTCTAGTTTAGTTAAAATTATAAATTTGGTTAAAAGAATATTGACTAAAAACTGTCCAGGGAGGTTATTGACTCAAAGATCTAATATTTAGGCACAAACCCCTGAAACTGTTGAGATGTAACTAAGAAAGTCTACTTAGTTTGTAGCTGGAAGTTTGAGTGATAAAAAGCATTTGTTTCTCGTGATTAACACAGTAACTATTGTGATTCAAAGTGTACCTTTGATGCACAAAACAAGAGCTCTATGCTTTGCTTTTCAGGCTGGGCTTCTAACTGCATTTGTTCTCAAGGGCTTGTACTTTGGCAGGTAAAATTGTTTTCCCCTATGTTTTCAATTACCAAACCTAGAGGGAAAAAACTTAATATGTCGGGGAGGGTGGATTGGTGCCCCTAATTAAGAGATCTCTATGGCCCGGAATTATTTATGTCAGCAGACATTCAAGCGTTCGTGAGATTGCTCTAATGGTTCTTATGGCTTATCTTTCCTACATGCTGGCTGAGGTAATAGGAAGTGAGAATAATACACGGCTTACCTTGCTCTTACCATCCACATTTATTATATGGTTCTTGCATTTTCTCCTATTTCTCAGACATCTATCCTTCTTTATTTATTTCCTTTTTACCTCTGCCTCCAGGCCTTTGATGCTTCATCACAAGATATTGTATTGTCATGTTCCCATATTTTCCCATTTCTCTGCTTTTCGGAACTTTTTACCGTTCAAATTTGATCATGTGGCTGCTCGTTATATCTTTCTGCCATCAAAATCTTCTTAAATTTTTCCTCCAAATTACATGACAGGTTTTGAGTGATGCATATTTCAACCGTTATTTTCTTTGAACTGCATTCTCTTACCGTATCTTTTTTATTTGTTCACATCCAATTCTTTGATGTATCTTGTGAAATTATGAAGTCTTCTGAAGTTTTAAGCGAGGTTATGTGTTTTTTACAGCTGTTCGAACTAAGCGGGATTCTTACAGTCTTCTTTTCTGGTATTTTCATGTCACATTATGCTTGGCACAATGTGACTGACAGTTCAAGAATCACCACCCGGTATGCGTAATGTTTCTAAATTTCTGCAATGGCTTGGGAAGGGTGTTTCCTGCCCTAGTCAGCCTCCATTCATTTTACACCCTTTGGTCACACTAAAGACTTATCTCATTCAAATAGAAAACTTATAAGCTACATGAAGCTGTATAGCATAATCAATTAATCATCATCGGTAATCAGTACTTTTGGCTAACATGTTTTATCATTATTTTCAGGCATATATTTGCAATGATGTCCTTCATTGCAGAAACCTTTATATTTTTGTATGTGGGAATGGACGTCTTGGATATTGGAAAATGGAAAATGAGCAAGCTCAAGTAAGAACCATTCCTCTAAGAGAATTTATTTTTTTCACTGATGTTATTTATGGCATGAAAGTGATCGGTAGCATGATATTTCATGTTGTATGGTCTATTTACATTGGCTATACTTTCTACCTTCCTTTTTGATGCTTATATGTGTGGAAGTGTTCTATTTCATTTCAATCCATCTCAAGAAACCATTCAAGATCATAATCATTTTAAAATGCTGTATAGAAGTGATTTGTTAGTTTGCCACTTGCCCGTATCTATATTTATCTGGCTCCTTTTCGCCTTTGCCAACTGTGTTCAGGTGAGGATGCATGATGCATAAGATAAGTTTGAATGCATTCAATAGAAAGTGAGGTTGATAAGAGTAAATTAAGAAATGAGAATTAAAACATGATGGTAACTTGTGTCTTATGTAGTCAGTATGCGATGATGATGGTAATGGTGGTGGTGTCGGGTTTATCTTGCGAAATAAGAGTTTCACCTTCAGAAGTCCTGCAAATAGGAATTTAGGAAACCTTGTCTGATATGTTATGGACATTATTATCCCTATTAGATTCAAATTTCCCTTCAATGAAAATATTTTTATTGCAGTGCCTGGGACTCGATTGGTGTATACAGCAGTGTTATGTTCTTGATATTACTCGGACGTGCTGCTTTTGTATTTCCTCTCTCAGCCTTGTCAAATTGCATGAACCGAAGGACTTCAAGAAGGTCAAAAATAACATTTAAGCACCAGGTTAGCATACTTCCACAATTTAATTTTGAAGGAAAATGAATTTTGAGTCTCTTGAATTTCTGTTTCCAAACTAATGCTGAGACTAGCCAGAACACTCCTTTGGCTCAGCTTTCAAATCATAGCACAATTTGCAAAACTCGATAACGTACTTACATTAGGGCATCAGTTATAAGTTTCAGAACTTCGAAAGCACCAATTCTTAATTTCCAACTATACTCCTATCACTGCATCAAAATTCCTGTGTTATCTCTCTCCTCTTCCATTATATATTACATTCATGGCGCTTTCGGCTATTTACGCTAGCTGTATATTATGCAAAGGTTATAATCTGGTGGGCGGGGCTGATGAGAGGTGCAGTGTCCATCGCTTTGGCATTCAAACAGGTGACGCTTAGCCGAGTATCACTAGCTATCATTCAACGATTATTTTTTTCTGCACCACCTTATCTACACTAATCTTTGTTTCTTGTTTACATCAACAGTTCACTAGTTACGGTGTGCCATTAGATCCGGTCAATGCTACAATGGTAACAGCAACAGTTATCGTCGTGCTATTCAGCACAATAGTAAGTCAGAAGCTTATAACTTTATTCGATCTCCCTTTTTTTCATACTCACCTGTATAGATATGCAGGTCTTCGGCTTTCTAACAAAGCCCCTGGTAAGATATCTCATCCCCCACTGTACTAGCAGCAACATCGACCGCGAAGCGAGCATTGCCAAGGAGAATATGACCCTTCCTCTGCTCTCCTTCTCGGAATCGGCTGAAACAAACCTTCTCCGAGCAAAAGATAGCCTGTCGATGCTAATGGAAAGACCCGTCTACACGATACATTCCTTTTGGCGCAGATTCGACGACGCCTACATGCGGCCGATCTTCGGAGGCCCCCAAAGTGACCAATCACCATCATGAGGAATGAAGTGGTAAGTACCAAAGTGATCGTTAGAACTCAAGTGTTTCATGCTGAAATATAATTTTCTGTCGACCAAAAATGGGGTTGTTCTTATGGTTCAAAAATGAGTTTATAAAGATTTTAACAACGATATAAAGCTATGGAAAGTGACATGGAGATATCGAATAGTCATTGTTGGGAAATTGCTTTCAAACTAATTATTAAAATGCTGTTGAATGGCTTATTGTCAAGATTGAACAAAAATATTATTTCATTTGAAATTTATTTGAAAATATAATATTATTCAAGTTTTTTAACTAATATTTTAATGTTATTTTTTTTCTAAAAAAATATTTTATTGAAAGCCTTAAAGATTGAACGACGTCACAAAAATAAAATTTATATATAGCGTGAGAATCTGTAGAAGTTATTTTTGGCGCTATAAATTTTCTATCGTCAGACTTAATATATTGTAAATTAGGTCGGATGAAATAAGTTATACTAATGTGTAGCAGGTAAATCTGAAGGTTTCGGGAATTGAATTTACAATTACTAATTTATTCTCACATCACTCGATCATTTTTTATTGGACTAGAAAATAAATATTTTATTATATAAAACAATAGCTTTACTTTGTGATTTTGTAGAATTTGATTTTATTATTCTTTTAAGTGATGTCTATAATTTTGTAGATTTTGATTTTATTATTTTCTAGTGAAACAGTGTAATAATTAGTATAAAATTTAGAGAAGACAGGAAGCCTACCATTTGTGGTGGATAATTTTTTTGAATTTTTATGAAAGGTTTTTTGTGTTGTATATTATTATTTTTAGAAATCTTAATTAAAAAATAAAATTGAAAAAACGAAGTGAGTGGGTATTAATTAAGATATATATTTTTTCTATTTCACTTTTTATGTTCGAAATGTTCGATTCACTTAGAATGTTTGATTTATTACGGTAAAATATATCTAATAAATAATTAAAAATATGTTAGTAAAAATAATTATTTTTATAATTAAATTAATTATAAATTAAAATTAAAATAATTAAATACGATAATTATAAATAATTAAAATTAAGAAGAAAATAACAAAGTGGAACGAAAATAAAAATAATGAAACGAAAAATGTAAAATATAAGAAATATTATTTTGTTCGAACATATACTCCGAATTCGTTCATGCAAATAATAAAATGGCAATTTATAGGTATATGTTTCATATTTTGACTATGCTAAAATATAGATTACAATTATAACACAAAAAAAAAAAAAAAAAAAAAAAACTGCAAATAATAGATTAATGTTTTGAATTTATAATTTATGCTTTAATTATATATTTATGTTTTTTTTTTAAAAAAATCAACATAATTAATACTTCATTTTTTTCTTTTTTTTTTAGGAACATCAATTCTGATTCATTATAGTATAAGAAAAATTTGATGTAATACATATATATATTGATTGATGATCTATATATTAAATATGTCACCACTTTTTTTTCCTGTTTTTTTTGACTTGCAGTCCGTATTCGAATGATATCACCACTATTGCTATAACGATAAATCAATTCTTATTCATTTTTTTTAAGGAAGGATCCGGGGATTGTAATCTACGAAGATCTCTATTTAACTCATATTAGAATTTTGTGTTTACTATTAATTTCAATTGTTTGATTATAAGCTAATTTGATAGATTAGGTTCGGACACAAATTTTAAAAATAGTTGATTAAAATAATTATTTTTAAAATGAAAATAAAAAAAAAACATATTTTTATTAAAAATAATATATATAAATAAAGTAAATTAAAACATTGTTACTATTTAAGAAAAAATTGTCTTATTTTCTTATTTAGTAACGGTGGTGATAAAATTATTTTTATTTTTCAAATTATCCTTATTTTTATTTTTATTTTTAATTATTATTTTAATATATTTTTTAAAATTATTAAAAAATAAAAGTATTTTAGTATTTTATTTTTTATTTTATATAGTATATTTTTTTTTTCTAAGGGACGGAGGAAGCATAATATACAAAAAAAAAAAAAAAAAAAAAAAAAAAACAAACAAATAATATATTTAAAAAATAATTCTATATTTTTTATTAAAAAATACAGAAAAAATTGTAAATTTAAAAAATTAAACCAAACACATTTTAAACTAATTCCAATATGACCGAAAGGCGGTGAAGAAGTCCTGACGACGACGCTTCGAAAGTATGGTGCATCACTGAATCTTTACCCAGATTCCAGCGTAGTACCAAGAGCTCCATGCTCCTTATTATATAAACGTGCGGGCGCCCAAAGCCATTTTATCCCTCTTGTGCGAATTTGGGTGCAGGTGCCAACCTCAGAAACCTAGGGTTTATCATTTATTCTTGAGTACCTCTGTTTCTTAGAATTCATCCGTAATCCTTTTACCTACTGTTCAGCGAATAAGTTAATTTAACAATGTTTGCTGCAATTAGGAATATACCGAGTTTGAATCACGGGTACGAGGGTTCTTGATATATCAGTGGGTTTCGTAGTTGCGGAAACGAGGGGTAAGTTCCCACCCTGAACCCTATAGATTAAGGCAGTTAAGGGTATAGATAATGGTTTTCTATTCGTGAATCGTCTCACTCTTGCTGCAAAGTTGGTTAATTTATAATGGAATACCCCGTGTTTGACGCCATGGATATTCAATCTTGTTAATTTTGAATGGTTCAGGGTTTTGGTATTGACCAGGGAATCTGAGGAAGAAGACATGGCTTCTTCAGATGATGAAGGTGAAATGGTACCAAAAAATGTGTCAGAGTATGAATTTCTATCCGACAATGGAGCGGCAGTTTCATTCTCCAGATTACCAATTGATTGGGATGGAAGTGGGGTTCAAAATGAAAAGAAGCGACGAACATTTTTTTTGTCTGGGAAAACTGATAATGGTCTTCTTAAAATATACAAAGAGGTTGTTGCTTGGAAGTTTGAGCTTTCACATGGAAGGCCGGAGATATCTGTGTTATCCACAGAGGGCCACTGGATCAAGCTTCTGAAACCAAGGAATGCTTTTCAAGACATAATAAGAACAATTCGGATCACTCTACATTTCTTATACTTTGCAAGACGGAATCCCCAGCAATCAGAAAAGGTTTTGTGGGATTATCTTAACAAGACTTTTAGGTATTATTACCGTTAGAGGCTGTCTATGCTTAAATATCTTTGTTTTATTATTGTTATTTCTAACTTTGAATGTTTGTAGCATGTTCGAGAGAAGGCCTTGTGAGGATGATCTTGCAGATAACATGCATTTAATTAATGAAGCTGTTAAGAGGGATGAAGCATTGGCTAACTCAAAGGTTTGTAGTTTATAGCATTCCCTTTGGAGGGTATTAACACAACAAGAGGTTTAAGGTTCCTAGTGCGATAATTTAGATTGCTTGTAGTATCCTACTTCATCTTCTTCATTACGATATGTAATTGAGGAGTTGAAAGAGAATGCAGGGGACTTTGTAAATACCATTGTTTAATATGTAGAACTAATCACTATATTGCTTTTTCTTTGCATTAACTCTATCTTCCTTTTTGAACAGCTTTTGAGTGCTTTTCTAAATCAACCAAGGAAGCGGAAAATTATTAGCGAGGTTATTCTCTATCTCTCCCCCTCTCTGATGTATGGTATTGTAGAATCCAGTTGCAGAAAATGTGCTTAATGAGCCTGCAATCCTCACTGAAAATAGTATTAAGTTTTAATGTTTTGGTATCAGGATATAAACCCCCCTTTTATAGTTGATGATGCCAATGGGGACGAAGGTTTCGAGGAATATCTCAAGCTCAATGGAAGTGATGATGATGGATCTGATGATGATGATTGTTTTGACTCTGTTTGTGCAATATGTGATAATGGCGGTCATATATACTTGTAAGTTTATCTTGATACCTATGCATCTACACATTCTATTTTATTTTATTATTTTTTTCACTTCGTACGATATGCCTCTTAAAAATTACAGGTTTAATTCCTAGGTGTGCTGTTCCCAACATAGTCACTTTAGAATTTAACTGTTTGAGGAATAAATGATAGGTGATACCAAATACATGAATAAAAAAGATTCCATTCCCTTAATCCCTTTGGGTGTGATTACTTTCTAGAATGAAATTATAATCCTTAGGATTGTTTTAATGGACTATATAATCATGAAATTAATTAATGTTATGTTTACTTTGTCTATTAAATAAAAGATAAAATAGATTTTTGGCACAAATATACTTGGATAAATTAATTTCATCCATCTAGAAAGGATTAATTATCCTTCAATTTGGTATTAGTATTGGGCTTTACTCCGCTAAAGTAAATAAGTGATTCTACCCAACCTAATCACTCCAAGTAAACACACCCTTTATCTATAGCGTTGTTGAAATTTATCCCTCCCTTCAGCAACTAAGATTGCACACCCCTATCACACCACAAAGGCAAATGCCATGATTCAACCCAATAAATTACTACTTGCAACAAATATTGCTAAATTACCTTATGACACTGAAGATCCAGCAAAAGAGTTGCGAGGAAACTCTAAGGAAACAGAGGCAATCAAGAACAGCAAGAAAAATTGCTTTGGGGCCCACACATTGATACAACTAAATCTAGAACTGATTGTGATAAGATAAACTGTGCTGTCTCAATTAAGAATGGTCATGCTCAATAGTATTAATAATGTTGTATTTTCCGTTTTGTCTTTTTGGAGTTGTGGTTGGTGAGTATGAAAAGGTCTTCATTTACTTCTGCTGTTTAATAGAACAGTCAAATTACAGTATACAATGATTGTTTAATTTCCTAGCATGTGGTAACTGGTCTAGTGCTCATGCATCCATACAGCTTTTATGCTCCCATCTCTTATATTGTGTGTTGAAAACTTTTGATATGCTGTTAGATGTGAAGGCCCGTGCATGAGATCATTCCATGCAACAGTTGAAGATGGTGAGGAATCTAATTGTGAATCTTTGGGGTTTGATGCAGAAGAACTAGAAGTATGCTTTTTATCTCAGCTGTCTACTTTGCTGCTACAATGTAGGGTTAATTCCTCACTGTGGTTTTTATGATTTGATCTCAGGCAATGAGGAGCCTTCCCTATTTTTGTAAGAATTGCGAGTATAAGAAACACCAATGCTTTGCTTGTGGAGAACTGGGATCTTCTGATAAGTCTTCTGGTGCTGAGGTCTGTGATCCTTCTGAAAACATGGGCTCACATTGTTTTTCTGGGGGGATTTGAGAATTGACTTATTAATGTTTTACAGAACCTGTTTTGTAGTTGAACTACATTTGATCCATGATAATCTAGGCTGAAGTTACTGTTGGCTAACATTTTTCTTTTTCCAAAGTTGTACCATTATGGGTACCTTGTGGCTTGTACATTCTGTGCTACATCTCATTTGGTCTACGATATTAGGTCTTCTGTTGTGCTAATGGAGCATGTGGGTACTTCTATCATCCTTCCTGTGTAGCAAATCTTCTCCATCCTGATGACAGAGCCGCAGCAGCAGAACACCTGAAAAAGATTGCTGCTGGGGAAACATTTGCCTGTCCTGCACACAAGTGTCATGTATGCAAGGAGTTGGAGGTGAGGTCAAATCATGACTTGCAATTTGCTGTTTGTCGGCGTTGTCCCCGAGCATACCATAGAAAATGTTTGCCAAGGTTCTTTGAATTCTTTCTTTCTCGTTTTTATTCCGTGTTTTGAAGACATCTTCATAACTTAAAAGTGTTGGATATATGGCAGGGAAATTGCATTTGAAGAGGATGTAGATGAGGAAGGAGAAATTTTACAAAGAGCATGGGATGGACTAATTCCTAATCGTATATTAATCTATTGCCCGTGAGTCCCTCAATTCTAGTTTGATCTATTTTTATCAGAGTTCCCACGTCTCTTCTTTTGCCTGATTTCTTTTTGTTGTCAGAAATCATGAAATTGATCCAGAAATTGCCACACCTGTTAGAGACCATATAAAATTTCCAGGACCAAAGAATGATCAAAAGAAAAGTTTATCATTACAATCTAGAAAACGGCAGGATCTGATAAAGGGAAGAGTTTTCACTTCTGATGATAATGCTGGCAAGAGAATCCCAGAAAAATCAGCTGTCAACTTGTCTTCCAGTTCAAAGCAAGGCGATTTCTCCAGGAAAATAATAAAGAAGTTGCATGAGCTGGAACCCTCAAAGAAGGTCAAAGCAACTACCAACAGGAATTCTGTTGGTAAGTCCAAAGAAACAGCAGATCATTTGGGGAAACCATGTTTAGGTGATAGGTTATATGCAGCATTTTTTGATATGGATTCTGAACCTGAAAAATCGAGCACTGAAGAAACCAGTCGTGATGACCAGCAGAGAACTCAGACTGTCAAACCTAATGCACTGAGGGTAAATACTTCTGTGACTCTAGATGCTGATTCGCAGAAAAGGTGATCGCTTTTCCTAGTTTCTGGCTAATCTCTTTCTGCACATTTGTATGATGCTACAATTCATCAGTTTTCCTAGAGCAAATTCATTGTGGCCTTTTTTGTATATCTTAATTTTTTTATGTTTCTTTTAATTCAGGATATTGGCTTTGATGAAAGATGCTTCATCCTCAATAACCTTAGAACAAGTTAAAGAAAAGCACAAACCACCATCCACACATTCCCAATATTCAAGATTTTATGCAGACAATATTACGATGGGGAAGGTGGAGGGTACCATTCAGGTATGTATTTTTTTTAGGTTGAAGGTGATTTTACTTTAATGGAATTGATACTGATTCAACTGCAGGCAGTGCGAACGGCATTGAAAAAATTGGATGAGGGTGGTAATGTTGAGGATGCTAAAGCAGTCTGTGGCAAAGATCTCCTTGGCCAACTGATGAAATGGAAGGCTAGTATTGGCATTTTAAATTTCTCTCTTTGGTTTCATTCATAATCACTGAATAATTTCTGTTTTACTTATAATATATAAAATAAAGAACTTATAATCATATTCCCTTTGTAATAAGATAAAATACATTTACAAGTTCCAATGCTGTTTTGGGTTGACATAAAATAAAGAACTCCCATAAAAAAGGATGAGCATTACCTCCAATATCTTGTAAGACGTTAAAAGACTGATCATGTAGTTAAACAATATGTTGATTCTGGACAACCCACTATGGTAACTTGTGTTTTAAACACATCCTCAATAAATATCTTCCAATAACTTCACATGTGTTTTGAACACTTCCTCAGTTAAACCTACTTGGTTGTGGATGAAGGGAGTATAACTTCAATACATATCTTTTCAGCAGGAACTACTTGGTTGTTTTATGAGGAAGCAATAGTTTATTAGAATATTAATAGATATCCATTTTTATGAGGAGGTTTTAGTTCTTAGTTTGATCTATCGTTTATTTGTGTGAGCATAATTTCATTTTGTGCCAGTGCAGGTATTCTCCTCTCCTGTATACTGTAACTTTATGGGGTGTATGGTGTTGGCTCTGCGCCAAAACCATCACTAAATGTTTTTTGATGAAGCCAAAATTTTCTCATGGAAGCAAATGAAACATTTTGGCATTTTTTGAGTGCTTTATGGTTATTCTAATAATGTGATTAGTGTGGAAGTATTAATTAGGTATTTTATTATGCAGGAAAAGTTCAAGGTATATCTTGCACCGTTTCTGTATGGCATGCGCTATACATCTTTCGGTCGCCATTTCACCAAAATGGGTAAACTTAAAGAGGTTAGTTGATGTCTATTGCCGCTTACTATTTGTATTTAGAGGATCCATTGCCTATGCCAACTAGCAATTGTCAATAAATTCTGAGAACATTATTTTGTGGCTAATAAATTTTGAATACATATTTAGAAACTAAATATGTTAGGGGATATAGTGATATGCTCCTTAATTACTTTGTCCTTTGAAAATACATGATGTTATTGTTCTGTCTAATATTATTGTATCCTTTCTTATCTCTTTGACAAACATCTTGAGTCATTCCTTCCACATTTTCTTATTTGATTTAGTTATCAGTTAATTACAAAGGTACTTTGGTTTTTTTTTGAAAACCCTATTGCATGAGTTTTATATCCAGATTTGTCTTTTATCTACTGTTTAGAGATGTAATGCCTTTACTTGTGTTGTGTCTAGAATGATTCAATACAGTCTGATAGTTGAAAAAATTGGTAGAATTTATCTACTGTTTACAGATTGCAGAGTTTGGCAATGATGGTTATCGTAAATGACTAGAAATGGAATATTATGAAAATGAAATAGTTGACTTCTTTTGTGAAATGAGCTTTAACTATGCAATCTAGTTGCCTAAAACCTCCATAGATAACCTTTTTTTTTTTTAAATCAGCAATTTCATATTTTCTTATGTTAACCATCAAGACCCATATCCTTTTGTTGAATTGCTTTTGATGACCACACTACCGACAGATAAAAAGAGAATTTTGTATTCATAATTAATCTTTTCTTTTTTTGGTGTCCTTGACTTGTTTTCACTGTCTTCTACCCCCTCCATCTCATTACTTTTGCATGTTTTACTTTTGGTGCAGTTTTTTAGGTGGTGTCATTTTGATAGCTTTTTTACCATTTTGTCCTTTTTGTTTGAAATGGTTTTATAATTTGTATTTAGAAGGGTAAAAAGGAAAAAACTGTTTATTAATAAAGAAAAAGTGCAAACATTTTGGAACATTCCAAATTAGAGATGATAACGAATGGTTTGGGATGGAGGGAGTAATATTTAACATTGACACCTTCCTTTTCTTTATGGCTATGATGTCTTCTCCTGCAGATAGTTGATATACTCCACTGGTACATTCAAGATAATGACATGGTAATACTCCATTCCTCGTTTTAGTTTATTCTGATATGACTTTATATGTTCTCCACACCATTGTATCTTTTAATTACTGTTTGTTGTCAACATGATTTGAATTATTGTCCCTAATCCAGTTACATCTTCTTTAGTTATCCAACACTTTAGTATTGCATCAATTAATTAAGGGAATAGGAGTTTCCATATACCTATGACAAGTGGGTGGATTTTGGCTTGAAGTGATCCTATAAGCTAGATTATAATTTATTTTGTGCAGCGAGGGGCTAATTCTTCTATTAATGACTATTTCAAGTCCCTAGATACCCAATATTACAATGATACCTGGTGAAATCAGCAAATTGGGCTCTTTTGTTTGTCGGAAAATGGAGATTTGTCCTCTGCTATCAGTGGTCACAAAAAAGGACGCACAATTTTTAAATTTGTTGCAGTCATGACAAAACCCTATTATTGCTTTGAAATGTCACACTGAATCACAGGACATCAATATATGCCTAGTTTTGCATCTTGTTATTCATGTGGGGCACACTATGTATCAACAAATTCTCGGTTAAGATGCATATGTCAGTGGTTTTCTCTATCTTACAGTGTGGAGTTACTTGTACTAAATATATGTGGTTTGTCGGACATGATACATAATCACTCTACAAAGAAAATACATATTTTTCGTTTCTTTGCTATCGTCATTTCTGGCAAGTCCATGGTGATGAACATCTCAACAATTGGATGTGATACCTAAGCACTGGGGGAGATTCATTTTCTTTTTTCATACATCTTTGGATAAAAATGTAACTTTACACTATTTTTGGTTGATCTAAATGCTACCTCTACCCAGTCAGGAACTAGCTGATATATACAACTAGATTACAATTATGTATATACTTCTTATGAATAAATCACTGAAATCGCACATGATTAAAACGTAACACTGTTCTGTTGTGATTTTAATTGGCCATTACTGCATTTTTATTTTTCTTTTTTCTTTCAAGAATAATATGTAGTTTATTTTATTTCATTTGTCTAATATTTGTTGGTTTCTGTGAGCAGGTGGTTGATTTTTGTTGCGGATCAAATGATTTCAGCTGCCTTGTGAAGAAAAAGGTTGATCAGACGGGAAAAAAGTGTTCATTCAAAAATTATGATATCCTACAAGCAAAGGTGAACCTGTTGTCAGCATCATTCATTTACTTTTTTCATATGTACTATGTCATCATAAATTACAACCCATATGTATGTTATGGCAATAATCTGCTAATTGTTCTTTCATTAATCTACATATGGTATGTCTTACTATGATCTTATATCTTTTTTTTGAGTGGATTCTTGTAATGCCTTACCTGCCTTGGGACACTTTCTATTAGTAGATTTCCCCCCTTCTTTCAAGGCTTCATCAATGTTTTCATTTTAGGTTCATTTTTCCTCCTAGGATTTAATTGGCTATCAACAATTTGTTAATGTCACACGCTCAGTTCCCTTACAAACAAAGCAATACCTAGGGTTGGATGAATGATTACCTACATAGTGATTTAGGGTGAAGGGAGAATTGTTACGGTGATTGGTGCTCATGTATGAAGTGTATTATTTAGAATTTTACCAAATACATTTTACTTAGCTCCATGTTCACTTTGGGTATCAGTTGGGTGGATGTGTATGCCTATGGAAACAAAAGTCACATCCATGCTTCATGTTTTTAGGGTGATCAACGTCTTTGGCACATGAACTTTTGAATTGGTGGTTCTATATTATTCTGTTTTTGATCTGTTTGTATTTTGTTCAGAATGATTTTTGTTTTGAGCGTAGAGATTGGATGGGAGTAAGACCAAATGAGTTGCCAAATGGATCCCAGTTGGTCAGAATCTCTATTCTCTTCCTCACTTATTTTTTATACATTCGAACTAGTTAGTTACAATAATATATTTGCTTTCTTTTGGCAGATTATGGGGTTGAACCCGCCCTTTGGAGTTAATGCTGCCCTTGCCAATAAATTTGTCAATAAAGCTCTCGAGTTCAAACCCAAGCTTATAATCCTCATTGTTCCCCGGGAAACCCAGAGGTAATTTTCCTAACAGAGAACTAATGGGCACATATAATACACACAAGAGAATTAACTAACTTACATTTGGTTTCTACTTTTTAGATTAGACGAAAAAGAATCTCCTTATGATCTGATTTGGGAGGATGATCAGATGTTTGTTGGCAAGGTAAGTTGGTGCTTGTTGCAAGTTTCGTTGGTCTCTCATGTTATGCCGAGCATATTTCTTTCTCTGCTAGTCTGTAAATTAAGCTTTCTCATTGTTGTTTTGCAGTCCTTTTATCTACCTGGATCTGTTGATGTCAATGACAAACAAATTGAGGATTGGAATGTTAGTGCACCGGTACTTTATCTGTGGAGTCGGCCTGACTGGACACCCAAACACAAGGCTATTGCTAAACGGTATGGACATTTTCCCGGGGCAGAAAAGAAGCAGAGTCATAATGAAATTCAGGCCACAAATTCTTCTCAGGAATGTGAAAATCTCGACACACCCATGGGTGAAGATTTACATCTTGAGAAACCTGAAATGAATGAACAAACAGTCCAGCCTGATACCCACAGACAAAAAGACAAGGCAACTGTGATTCACTCCGAAGCTTCACCACATGCCAGCAATGGAGCTACAAGGGATAAGAGATTTGCGAATCGTGCTGAAGAAGGTTCCAAGTCTGGTGGCAAAAGAAAAAGGAGAAGAAGGTCAAATGATAATTTTCCTGAAGACAATTTCCGCGCAAGACGGTCTATGACCCAACACCTCTCACCAAAGGTGCCCCGTCTCGGCTCAGTTGAGACACGATCACCCAAAGTTGGTGACAAACCATCACAAGTGCATTCCTGGAGAGATGGGCGTCTGCCATCGGTTGATCAAAGGAACTTTTCTACATATCAGCAGCGTCGGCCCCAAAATGTATATGATGGAAATAAGGGAATGGACAGCATGCCAAGGCCGAGGATGTACAGCTTGAATGGCGACGAACCCTTTCCAACTCTAGCCAGTCGACACCCTTATGCCCCAAGCCCGATGCCAGACTATGATTTAAGGGCATCATTTGAGCACTCGTATGCCCCAAGTCCCAGGCCCGAGTATGGTTTAAGGGCATCAGCCGAACGTTGGATGGCACCTGAAGAGAGAGCTACCAATCTGCCGCCTCATCATAGACTGCCGTCACACATATCAGAGGAAATCGCCAAGTATGGCAGAGATCCGAATTCTTGGAATCAACAAGGAATCCGTCCACTTCCTCCTCCTCCATCCTACCCTGGACAGGGTTTTCTGCCCCCACAGGGACAAGTACGCCCAGCTTTCGACACTACCTATGGAGGGATGAATAGTAATACATCAGCAATGCAGCGCTATGCCTCGCGTCTAGGGTTGGAGGAGGTGAATCATCCGCCTATGGGTGCTAGACCGCCTGTGCTTGACCCGACTGGGATGCTTCACCCACACCCCCCACCTATGCAACATGGTGGTTTTCCTTCGGCTCCGGGCCCCCGGCCATATCCCCACCAAGGCTCATCAGGTTGGCTCAACGGTTAGGTGGTGTTCCGATGTGGCGGCTAAACTACTCTTTTATGGCTCATGTAAAATGGTGATTCTTGATTGACAGGGATGATCAGGTGCGTGTACAAAATTGGTTCCATTCAAACTTATATACCTGTGTTTTGAGGATCGACCATAAATGTTGTAGAATACATACGTCATTTCTTGATTTTTATTTTTTGGTTTGGGATGTCTCCTACTATTTCCCTAGTTTGGTAACTCTTCATAGTTGTTTCTATTTGAAATTGGAACATGAGATGATGGTGATGATGATGGCCATATCTATTACCCATCTCGCTTTGATTACCGACCATGTATCTATCTATCAGCCATTAATAGATCGATGCATGTACAAGAAGAGGAAAGAAAATAGTGCTTTCTTATTCTTTGATCAAACAACTATCCATCTCCCAAAATGGAATGAACTGGTGATGGGTTGTCATCAACTCAGGGTGAACCTGAACCTGAACCTGTCTCAATTGACTTCTTTAGATATTGAATTAAAATAACTTAAATATAACTAAACATTCGATCAACGATGTGACCCTTCAATCGAATTGACTCCCCTCGAAATTTCTTATTCTTGTAGCATCTCTTTTGGCTCTCTCACATCGACTCTTATCGCTAATTTAATCGTTCTCCAATTATATAGGTCGAAATAAATGAAATTTACCAATTTAGCCCTATTAGGAGGAGCAAAAAACCAACAAATAATAATGCCCCCACCATTTTATTAAAATGGACGCATGCATATGTAACACAGCTTAACGAAAGTCAATTTAAAATATATATATATATATATATATATACATACAATTTTTTGACCACAAACGATTCAGTTATTGAACCATCACATTTTTTAGATATATCAAAATTAATCGGCTGCAATTGCAATTACTGTATTGATATACAAAAATTAGCATAATAATATAAAACAAATTAATAGTTACATAATACAAAGATAACACATAAGTGACACATCTCATACAATACAAGACTGACTATCACATGATATAATATAATAACTACACGTAAATGAATGGTTCCATAAGGGATAACCTAATATTGTGGGAATATATTCTTGACCGTTAGGTCATTGGTTTGGACCTCGATGTAACTAATACTCTCTGTGTCCGTCTGACGGAGGGAGAGTAACTCATAAACATCAACATAAAATAAAATAAAATTTGTAAGCCACCATGGTATGAACCAATGACCTTGCGTCGTACCAATTTTTATGATATAATTATAAACTAGGTATGTAACCGTGACGGGAAATCTTTGGTGATGGATGCTGCAGGGTCGTCGTCATTGATAATCTTGCATGGAAAATGCCTTGTAGAAAATGATCATATGACCTTCTTGTCCGATCCTTTTTCTTATGAAGCCTTCTTCATCACGATTTGCGGATCTCTTGTAGCTCCCTTTCCGGCAACTGAATCACAGTTGCCTTGTCTTTCTGTCGGCCGGACTGTTTGCTCATGGCTTTAAGGTTTTTCTACGTATATGTGAAAACTTCATCCATGGCCATGGGTGTGGTGTGTCTGAGAATTGAGAATTTGTGGCATGGATATCATTATGGCTCTACTTCTTTTCTGTCCCAGGAGTTTGTGTTTTGAGTGATCCAGGTAAGAAAATAACATATATAAAGGAGAATTGACTTTCCCTTGTATTTTCTTATAAATATATATATATAACATAACAACTTTACTATCAACTCATACCTTAATTTGTGTTATTATTTTATTAATAAATATATATATATATATAAATATTAATATTAATTCCAATAAATTAGGGCTAGCCAGGCACTGCCTAGTTGATTAGAGTGTTGAGCCAAAAGAAATCCAAAATTCAAGCACAATTTTTTTGTATTAAATTTAGATCGAATTTTTGAACCGTACCTATATTTATCAACTCTAATTTCAACACCACATCACTCAAAGATCAATTCATATATAAATAAAGATGCAACAATGACATGAAAGATCCAATAAATTAAGAGTAGTGATATTATATATATATATATAAATATATATATAGAAGTAGAATCTCCCTTCTTGAGAGAACAAACAAAATAGAATCAAAGAAAATTCCACTGTAATCAGAAATAGTGAACAAGAAAGTCTAAAAAGATTCTTATGGATCAAAAAGAAGCAAGAATGCCAAATCAAGATGTTCTTGCGGGATAGATAGACGATCCAAACGATCAGAATAAAGAATAATCTAACCAATAATTACTTTGATTGATCCAATGGTGAACAAATTAGGAACTGGCCAAAACAAATTAAATCCGACTGTTCTTGCAGGCAGATTATGGGAAAGATTTCTCCCAAACAAAACCTTAATTCAATCAAGGATGGAAATGGGTAGAATGAAGAACAATACAGTTGAAAACCTTGTCCCGATCTCAAAATATTATATCAAAATACTATTTAAATAAAAACTGAATTCGACGTCCTATTTTAAATCAATTTCGAACTTCCATCAAACAAACCAAAGAATGTTTGGAAGTGTTCTTGACGATCCTATCAAATCTTGATAATATTCTTGGAGCATCTATCTCTTGTGGCTCTTTCACATCCACTCTTCAACACTAATTTAATCATTCTCCTCTTATATAAGTGAAATATAATTAAGTGAATTTACCAATTTAGACCTATTACGAATGCATGTGTAACACAACTTATCAAAATCAATTTAATATATATATATATATATATTTACAAATTCTCAACCACGATATAATTCATTTACTGAACAAATATACTGATATATTAATAGGTTTTATACTTATATTCTATGTCGAATTTTAAATATACGATCATTAATTTCAGTATATTTTCAATTAATAATTAAATCAATGCACTATTTATCTATCTTTATGTGCTGATTAAAACTAATTGTATTGTATGTATATATATATATATCACATCACAACACAACAAAACAGAAACAAAGTTTAATCGTTATAACAAAACAAGTCTATAAAGGCCTTCAATTCATAAGTAAATAATTAATAATCATATATCTCCGCAGATGAGATATTTTGCGATACAATACAATACAACATATACATATATATATATATATATGTATATTACAATCAAGAAGCCAACACCAAGGCCAAATAAGGCCATTTATTATTCAACAAACAAATGACAAGCATGATGAAAACAACAATGGAAGATGGATGGGATGGATGATCGAGGATGATAGGATGGAAAACCAGTCGATACCTAAGCTTTTGCTTCATACCAATATCCTTGCATTTAATTGTGATTTTTATTATTCACTTCATCGAATCGCTCGTCATTTTTATCATCCATCTTGTTGTCATCGTCACAGTGGTGGCAGTGGTGGTGGTGGTGGTGGTGGTAGTAATGGTGCCCCCCTCCATCGACATTCACATCTCCCTCTTCAAAAATTCATTAACCAAAATCCATTAATTCAATCCAACACACAAATAACAATCAAGAAAGTAGCAAATAAAATTAAAGTGGCAAAGAAGATAAATAATGCTGACTAGTTTCAGTTGCGACACCGGGCTCGCTACGAGCTGCAGAGACTGCCATATCAGAATAGAGGACGAGAACAATGGCGACGAGAAGGCCGAGGAAGACGAGACTCTTGGAAGCCATTGATGAAATCTCTAAGCTTTTTTTTTTTTTTTTTTTTTTTTAGTTTGTGGGATGGGATGGGAAGAAGAGCAAATTTAGGCAAGTATTTATAGGCAGATTTTGTGCACAAAAGAAGAAAAAAAAAATTGAATTAATGTACAAAGTCAAGGTTAAATTTATGTATAAAGAAAAATAAATAAATAGTATAAGATAAATAGGAGGAGGAAAGTGATTCAGGCAAGTTAACTATTTGTTTAGTCCTTATGTGTCTATTTCTTGCACTGCATTCAAAATCTTGATTCTGACATTGTATTCATCAACACTATACAAAACCTTCTCTATTTTATTACAGCTGCAACATGTTGGATCAATATTGTGATATGTAATTATGTATATATATATATATATCCAAACAACAATTTTTTTATATTATTTTTAAATTAAATTGTATCTTTAATGGTGACTGATTATCAATCTTCTACTCCAAAACTTTAATTTTGCAGGAAAGTTGGAGCGGCTTCGGGTAGAAGAAGATAATATGTTTTAGCAGGCTTAAACTCCATTCCTGATCGCCACGCTATGTTGGCAAATGATTGTATCCTAAGAGGGTGTCGTTGGTGATGGACCGGCTACATTGCAAATAATCTTCTTACTCTCTAAAAATATATTATTTTTTCTCAAAATTATTAAATCGGACTACAATGCACATATATAATATGAACACAAACACAAGCCAACTAGACAAGTGTCTTTTATTTGAATTTGGTTTTGGCATGAAGGATTTTGATTAATACCTATTAGATTTAATATTGTTATAATAAATAATCCTACATATTTTTTTTTAGGGATATTTAACTTTTTTTTATCATGCCATCATTACAATTTTTTTTGTTATTTTTTGTTTTTGAATAAAAATACATTATTAATTTTTTAAATATTACATTAAACTATCATTTAAATATATATACAAGTCACCAAGTTCACTATTATTTTGTTCTATGGATATATGAGTTAGATCATTGGAACCTCTCTTGCCTAAGTTTTTGCAAAGAAGTGTACCAAATCATTTCACGAGCAAGAGATATGGTGAAAGGCGATGTTAGGACATGTAGATATTTAGAGACGGATCTTATTGATGTTTGAGTTAAGCTTATACGGTGGAGTAGCGTCGTGAATTCAACCAAAGGTATTTTTTGAGTCACTCAACGTAAACCTTGAATAGCATCCTCAGCTAGTCATGAACAATATATTCTAGGACGTAAAAGAAAACCGGTAACTCTACCGCATTGAGTTTTTAAATTCCGGGTAAAGGCCTCAGCATTTTTTATGTTGTAAGATCAAATTATCTTATAACTATGGTTAACAAAAATAAATAAATATTTATACATAATTAATTTATTTAGCAATATATTGATATTATGCAAACAAAATACCATGAATCCCCGAAACCTCCAAGTTTTGCATGCCACACATGTTCGCCTAATGTAACTTGTCTTATCGGGCCTAGTTTCCAGACTACTAGGTTCGGCCGGAGTTTACCCAAAGTGCGCCTTCAGTAGCGGCTGCGGGCTCCCTTCGTTATAAAAAAAATAATAATAACAATAATAATGATTCCGTAAGGGATGGTCTGGTGGTGTAGGGGTGGATTCGTGACCGTGAGGTCATTAATTCAAACCGTCGACAATGCCTTCAGATCCCACTTACCACACATGGTTCGTCTAGTGTAACTTTACGTAGTGATTTTTCTTATCCAACACATCTCTCAATATAAATAAATATATATATATATATATTGCATTGTATTTAAAATCATCCCAAAAATATACTACAATATTAGTCTACTTGTAGCTCTATGTGTGTGTGTGTGTGGAACTATGACCATTTCTTGGTTTTTACTTGTTACTAATGTTTCTTATCAAAGTAGGCATGCTACTTTACAAGATTATATATACTGTGTGGGTTCAGACTTTTCTACGTTAGATAATTTTCAATATTTGTGTGTTTCCTACAAACAACTTAGGTACATCATATTATTTTATTAAATATAATCATTGATTTATTTTGAGTTATTAGAGCCCGTTGTCATCTTTAACCACTAATTACCATACTAAATTTCATGAATATCCCATTCTATATAAATGGGGCTAAAATAGTCCCGGAAAATATGGTTAAATTTAAATAAATAAATTATTTATTCACCAAAAGTATGATTACAGAAGCTAGATACAAATTTTAGTTAATACTAATATACTAATTTATTGTGCTATAATATTCTAGGAATGTTAGGGGTAAGTTGATGAGTCGAAATAAAATTTAAATAAATTGCATTCGTAAAAAGTGTAATTTTGATTGTATCATAATGTAAAGATTGAAATATATAAATTAAAAAATATATTTCTATAAATAAAAATTTATGAACAGACAAAAAGAATATGCTAGACGTAATAGCAGATTTATCGAACAACACATATAGAAAACAATTTAACATAAAAAATTAAAAATAAAAATTGACAATACATATAATTTATATACATGTATAAGTGATATATTTCAGTCAGCAAGAAAGCTGAGTAGATAAAATCACTGATGGCAAGGCAACCATAGATATGCATAGTCAAACTACATTGATATTATTGCACATCATCTTCAAAGAGTCAAAAACTTGAGAAACTCAGATTTGATCGATTCATCAAATTTCAATATAATACATTCGATATTCATTGCACGAAGATAAGCTGTCTTAATCATCTTAATATATCTAGGACATGTGTGCAATCTGCTACCGAGACTAGTAAACGCCAAACATATATAGACCTACTTCGTAAAAATGACATAAACATTAATATAAATGATGATTGGCGAATAATTTAACAAGTTAAGCCCTCATTTATGGAAAGAGATCCTAGCAATCCAACGTACCTGAGCAATGTCTGCTAAAGTGCAAGCTTGCAGCATCGAAGCTCTGTCGAGTAGTCTTGTAGATCTTTAGGCTCATACCTGGTGCATAAAGCAAGCACTATATATATATATATATATATATGTATATATTACTTCATCAACAAAAAAGTCATCAATATTCATAGCATGAAAAATATTATCAACTCAAATGTAATTGAAAGAGTTCCACATAAGGTTTACAGCAATCAAGTGGTATTGATGTACATACAAGGACCCGGGGAAACAGAAGAAAACGAAATCTCAAGGGATATTCCAACGCGTAAACTTCTTGTTCTTCCTCAAATATATCATATATATCAACACACAGACACGCATTGAAAAGTTTGAACTCCACCCTCGATAAAATTACAAATATTTGATCAGAACGTATATAACAGCAATCAACACAACAATCCCTATAACAGATAGCATCAAGCACAAGCAAGAGCAGCCACCCTTTGTCCGTTTATTCAGTATGCCAAGCCTCTTCTGCACTCTCTGTTGCCATCAGGTGGAAAACAAGTGAGAGAATGTAAGTCGAATTGTACAAAATCATTATCTGAAATTACACATCAACTAGGAAAATGGAAGTGATTAAGTAGTAATTCACGGTTGCCCTAGACACTACACCAAAGCAGCATCATATCGATTAATTTTGAAACAGTGAAATGCAAAATCTCACTCTTAAGTATCGTCATTACTGAATCTCTCTCAAAGTTAGGCCTGCCACATCAAGTCCGCTATAATTTTGATATAATTTCTTGACAGTAATTCACAAAATAGACAATTATTAACTTCCTAGCTACTGTAGCTGAGAGGTAGAGAAATATTTAAGGCCAATACTGAGGTATGATTATTCATATGCTATATGGTTCATGGAAATTCTTTGTAAAGATGGTATCAAAAGTTCAAAACAACATACACCATTGGAACAATAATCAGACAGGAGGCAATATACAAAAAGAACCGTTACCTGAAGTCTGGAATTGGTGACCTCAACATGTTCATCCAGATTATCCTATATATAAACCATGAACCTCATGAAGACACAGTCTTGCAAGTTCTAATTTAAGTAGGCACCAATTAAACCGAAACCGAGAAACTTACAATGAGCCTCGTATGGAGATCAAGCTCTTCATTCACTGCCAATGCAATATGTTTGGTGCTTACAACCGTCTCCTCCAGTTTCTCAAGGCCCTCATCTTGTTCTGCAATAACGTTCACACGTAAAGATCACTACCAGTACATTGCATCATAGATTATAGGGGAAGTATATACTTCAAGATTAAAAATGCTACCTTTCATGATTTGTCTCTGAAGACCAACAACTCCGTGGTTGTCAAGACCAGCTGCTCTGCTCATGGCATCTACAGGCTTTATTTCAGGCCCCAGTAGGCTGTCTCTATTTGCAAAGTTCGACATGTTTAGTGTGGATGCCATTTGGTTTACCTTTGACCTTAAATTGTTGGCCATGTCTCTTCGCCTGTTCATTTCTTTCTCACTCCTGCATAAAAGGAGGGTGAGAAAGCATGTAAAGCCAAATAACATTTAAAGATAAATACAGATTCTTGGAATAAATTCATATAGAACAAATGTGGATGACGCAAAAATGTGACAGAACATAATTTATAGGAGATAAAGAGCACCTTTAATGCAATGATTAAAATCAACTACTAAATCATAGGATAATTGTTAGAGAGTAATGCTTGATTATTATAAAACTAAAGAGGTAAGCAGCATACTAGTCCTAAGATCTGAATTAGGGATGGGGTTCATTAGCAGGCTTCTTATGATCATTCTTCAATCAGGTAACCTGTTAACATGATGCAAGTCACCAAGGGAAAAATGTCTTTCATTACATCATTGCCAGCAGAGGATGAAAAATATTAAAACACACTAGCTTTGAGTCCTTTATACAAGTTATAATCAGATTAGCTAATCTTTAATTTATTGTTAGAGCAATGTCTATCTCAATTTGATGTCTCCACCATTCCATGTCACACTTAGAAGTCACCTTTCTCATTCCCAACTTCATTTCTGCCGCATCTTTTCCTTGCCATTGAGCACCAACCACAAAAACAGGGCAGAAGAAACTCTGATGCTGCTATGATTACAATATCACCTCATGGCATGGGCTCATTGGAAGCTTTCAGCATATTATACACTTATAGGTTATATCCGTACAAATATTAATCACTGGATAGTGCTATGTGCAGACACCCTTCTTTTTATATCTATCTTACACACATACCTAGGGGAGAAAAGTTGAAACGTAGCCACCATTTCATATTTGTAAATAACTCACTGAAAATTAACTTACAGGGATTGGTTTCCAGGAACCTTGGACAAAAGAGACTGTAGGCTATCCAGTCTGGTTCCAAGTATGGTTATTTTCCTCCTAATGGCAGATGTGTGTCTCTGTGCTTCAGGGCCCGTCGAAGGCAATGAACTCCTTTCAGAAATCATGCTATTAATATCGTCGGCAAGTTTAACAGCTTCATTGTACTCCCTCACCCATGGATCTCCAGAAGCCGCCATTTCTACTATCTAATCACCTATATAAAGTTTAGTGTCCAAATTAAGGATAAATTCCCAGTCAGAAAAGGAAAAAAGAAAAATATATGCATTCCTAAGACTATCGAAACAAGTAAGCATGTCTATTGATCAGAAAAATAACAACCTAGGGACTAACGATTTCTAAAACCCTAAAAGAAAAAAGATGGAAACAAGTCGTTATAAACATCAGGACACGGCATGGAAATCAGAATTCAACAAACTTTGAAAGGAACTGCAACAAAATGAAAGATATAACACCACCACCGTATCGGATCTCGTGATACTAATTCAACCACAATAAGAAAAACTGCATCTAAAAAAGAGGAAATTGCGCATTTTCACCGGAATAAGACTCGAAACATTCAAAGCGTACAAACACCCAAGCAATCAATTATCATATCCGTTCCATAAGCATATAATCAAAAAACCCTAAAATCGCAGACCAATCAAGAAAGAATCATTCACCACTTAGATCAGGAAAAATGCAATCCAAATGAGGAATTGAACGAGCTTACGTCGGCAGCGTTGCGCCCTACCGATTGATTAAATTCGGGGTGAAGTTCCCAACCGGACGCTGCAGTCGGCGCCACCAACTATCGGCAAAGATTGCCCGGCCAAATCGTCCCGTTTGACCCACACATTCACGCCTACGAAACTTTACAGAGCGAATTAATAACAAAAGAAGTCTGGGAACGATTCTTGTTCGCTTTTATGGACGTACCATACGTCGTCGTATCGTACGTAGAGCTAATCCAATATCCTTGAAATTAAATCCAATGCTATATATATATTTTCAATTTATCTTTTACTTTATTATATTAAAATTGTATTTCTATATTTTTTTCACTAATTGTCATTATAATAATATTATAAGATATTAATATAAATATTTTTGTCATTTTATTATTATTTGTACAATATTTTTATAGAACAATTAATATTCAAAGATAAATACACAAAAATAAATATAATATTTGTGTAAAACATTATACAAATATAAAAATATTTTAAATATTAAATTTAATGACACAAAAGTAAATGCTTTAGAGCGGACAGAGAGAGTATCAATTATTATTTAACTATGAAATATAAAAAATCAAATATATCTTAAACATATAATATAAGTAAAATATATCTAATAATTAAGGTGCATTAATATTACTTTGTTCTTTCAAAAAAATTATTACATTTTTTCAAATGCACGGTACATATTCACTATTTTTATATTTTTTAAACGATTTTTTATATTTCATATAATTTTTTTTTTTCAATATTCTCACAAAACAAACACACTCATATTTCGAGAATACTTTGATTTAGGTAGTTAAAAAAACAATAAGAAAGTTTAATGTACGTTTATTTAACTTTTTCATTCAAAATTATTAAATTTTAAATATATATATAATTTAATACTTCATCCGTCCCACATTGAGTGTCTTGATTACTGTAAATACGAGAATGTAGAACAAGTATAATTAGTAGATAATTAAGTATGTATTAGTGAAAATAATTAATCTATAATATAAATTATTATATATTAATATTAAAATGATTAATTAGTTTAATTAAAATTTTAAAAAATAAATTAGAAAATTTAAAATGAGATTAAGATGCATAATCATTTTCCAAAAAGAGAAAGTGATATGAGATGTGGGAGGACAGAAACGACAACATAGATATAGTATGTGAAACGGAGGAAGTATATTATAAAAAATCAAAAATTTATATAAAACATGGCAGTTACATATTTTCATTCACTACCACATCCATTGCTATCGACATCACTTATCATTTTAGATTTTTCACAATATATATATACTTCCTTCGTCCTGCAAAAAGTCAACTATTTGGTTTTTGCGTCATTGTACTTAACATTAAAAATATCCTTATATTTGAATAATTTATTTGAAAAATATCATTGTATTTATATTATAAGAGACTAATAAACGTACTTTTGTTTTTTATCTCTTGATTTCTACGACGTATTGATATAATAATTAATATTAAAAAATCAACATGTAAAGAAATCATGGCAACCTTCTTGCGGGACGGAGGGGGTATATATATATATATATATTGTAAATGTGATATGTTGATTTGAAGCAGGAAAGCGAGATTACTAAAATGGTGTTGTAGTAGTTTCAAATTTGTTGCTATTAAGATTAAGAAAAAAAAAAAAACACTTTGAAATCTTGTTTTAATTGACAGATTTGATGTTTTTTTTCAACTGACTTTTCATGATATTGGAATATGCTTGTAAAGTTTTGATTAATTTTACAGATATCTCTTTTAGTGAATTTTGAATAAATTTATTACTCCCTCCGTCCCACATAATTTGTTCTTATCTTTTATTTTTGTCCGTTTCACATAACTTATACTTTTTATTTTTGGAAATATAATTATGTACTTTAATCGTATTTTAAATTTTAATTTTTATAATTTTCTTAATTTTAATTAAATTATTTACTTATTTTAATCTTAATCTATAATTATTTTTACTAAATAATAATTATTTTTACTAATACATTTCTTAATTACTTATTAATTATACATTACCTAAATTCTCATGTCTACAGTAATGCATCCATATTATATGGGACGGAACGAAGGAGTATCATTTTGCTCTTTTTTGTTTTAGGTAATAATTGCTTTGAATCGAAGCAACCAACTTATTCAATATCTTGTTTTATTGATATACTAAACTAGTTTTATAAAGAGGATTTTTTTTTTTTATTTTTTATTTTTTTTGTTATGAGGTGGCCATTGTGTATTGAAAATACCCTTGATCAATTATATTCAGAATTTGTTTGTTTATTGTTTTGATTTGAAAATTTTATATAATATGAAAATTTTAACATAAAAAATAATATTTTATATTAATTTTTTAGAAAGAATACTTCTTTTGTTTGCAATATTTAATTTATTTGGATTCGGTACATAATTAAGAAAAATGAACTATTTTATTGAAAAACAAAAATAGTTGGGGTCTTTTTAAAAATTTAGTTAAGGGTGTGTTTGTTTGGGGATTTGGATTTTGAGTTGAGATTTGAATAGCAAAAATTTTGAATTGGAATAGTTGTATGATGTGATATAAATAGGTTTTGATGTGATGCTTTGAATGTAAAATTAACTTTTAGTATTATATAAAAATTAAAATTAGGTGTTTGATTTGATGTTTTTGGGGAAAATTAGATGAATATTAGATTTGGGGTAAAATCTCCCAAACAAACACACCCCTAGTAATTAAAGAGAATGAAGATGAATAATGTAATAAAATCAATGATATTTATTGCGAAGAATTGTTAACTGAAGAATAATAATTAAATATTAATTATTTTTATTTATTTCAAATATAATAATAAGTAAATTTAATGGATGGTCTAAAAGGGAATGTAAGAATAAATTTGCCGAAAGAAATGAGTATACTCCCTCTGTCCCGATGCAAGGTTGTCATTTACTTTTTGAACGTAATTTTTTTAATATTAGTATTATAATGAGTTATAGTAAAAAAGACAAAAAATGTCCCTACTAATATTATGTAATATAAAAATAATGGCATTTGTGTAATATAGTGTAAGTTGGAAAAATATTTATCATATTAGGTAGATAGTACAATTACTAAATTATCGATAACCTTGTTTTGGGACAGACAAAAAAGAAAAATGACAACCTTTCAATAGGACGGATAGAGTATATATATTATCCCGTATCCTAAATATATATATACAAACAAACCATCAATAAATATTACTAAAAAAATAAGATAAAAAAAAAAAAGACAAAATACAAGAATGTAATCCTTAAAAAATACATTAAAATTGGAAATTGTAAACCCAACTTTTAAAATATATTATAATTAAAGTTATTATACATGGAATATTACATTCTTATAAAATAAAATATCCATCGTCCCCAGTCCCCAATTGGCAATTTGAGATTTTATAATAAATTGAGAAATAATAGTATTTTATTAGTTAGTTGAAATATATAAGAAATTTAGACCATTTTGTCTTTTATGTAAAAGTAAATGTATGTGTAATGATATGTTTGTAATTTAGATAAAAATTAATGGTATTTTAGTATTAGTGTATTATTACCTTTACTACAACAAAAAATAGATACTTTGAAGTGAGACAGAACAAAAATGATAAAAATAATACTTTAAGTTGAGAATTATGGAGTATATGCATATATATATATTATATTATTAATGATGTATAATAATTATAGCCTATACTATTTTATATATTAATAATTTTAATTTTATAATTTTATTATATTATCATCCAATATATTAAGTTATTTTAACGGTAGATTTAGCATAATTTTGTTATATGTGGATATGTACTATTAATTTAAAAAAGTTTAATGTGTAATAATAATGAGATAAAACAAATATGGAGAAAAATAATGTTTAATTGTCAAGTGACTCGGTTTAAAATTTCTATTGTATATTTTCTAATTAAATTTATTTAAATATTTTTTATGAAAAAAAATAAAAATTAATTTAGAATTTTAAATAAAAATATTTTTTTTTGAAAAGTCTCCTAATAACTCACTATTATATTTTAATTTTTTTGAAATAATTATTATTTTATTAAAATATTATAATAATATTAATCATTTCTAATATTAACCCTTTCCTCTCAGTCTAAATGAGTCATTTAGATTTTGTAGTAGATTAAAAAATAATAATATTTTATTAGTTAGTGGAGGTGTTTAAAAGGTTTTGAAATTTTTTTCTTTTGACATTACCTAAAAAGCCATAGTATATATAATGTGTTTGTTTTATATAAAAGTTAATGATATTTTGATTTTAGAGTATAATTACTTTTACTAAAATAGAAAAGAGAGAGCTTTTAAATGAGACGAACGAAAATGGTAAAATAAATACTTTTAGTTGAAACGAAATGAGTAATATATTTTTAAAAATTCATAGAAAATTTTTCGGACAAAAATGTCACATCGTATCATAATTTTATATTTTCAATCCGAATCGTTGACCCTGAAATAAAGTTTAATTTTGTTATTTATTGAATTATAATACCTATATATTTTTTGCTTTTAAAAAAATTTTGACTTAACATACCTCGATATTTTTTAAAAAAAATTAAAAATTTAAATGAAATACACCAAATTTTTTAATGAAACACAGAATCCCCCAAATCATATTGAATATAGGAAAATACCGTTTTGGTGTCGGATTGGCATTGGTGGAATGCAACTTAAAAGTTTATTGACTAAGAATTTGGAATGGGATGGAAAATTACTGCCGCATATTCTATCTTGTAAAACTATTACTCCCTCCGGCTCAATACCGTGTGTTACACTGTAGACAAGGTATTTTCTGAGAGGTGTAATTAATAGATAATTAAAAATATATCAGTGAAATAATTAGTCATTATCTATAACTATAATTATAGTTATAAGATTAAGATAACTAATTAGTTAGTTTGAAATTAAAAAAAAGAATTTAAAAATTTTAAAATAAAATTAAGTGTAATCAGTTTCCAAAAAAAAAAAAGTAACATGGTACGTGGGACGGACAGAAACAGCAACATGGAAACATGGTAAATCTGGGACGGAGAGAGTATTAAATATATATTCTTTCGATCTAATTCAAATATATTTTACATTTTTATTTGTTTTATATAAAAGTATTTGTTTTTTATAATAACAAA